CATGCACTCGGGAGAAAATATATGTTTCTAATGTTGTCTCTGAGTATCTCCACACCGGGCAAGCTAAAAAGTTTACTTCACCGCGGTGGGAATCGTACCCAGGGGCGTAGGAAGCGGGGGGGCACGGGGGGCACGTGCCCCCCCAAATTTTTTTAAAGGACTAAAAGTGCCCTTTTTTGTGATAAAAAGTGCCCTTTTTGTGTTGAAAAGTGCCCTTTTTTGTGAGGAAAAGTGCCCCTTTTGTAGAAGCTAATGTCGCTGTAAATACTAAATTAAAACAATAGGTGCCGTTTTTTTGTGGAAATTTACAAAATTTTTTTAAAAATTAGGTCACAAACATAAATTTCGGTATGATACGACGGAAAATTTTCCTCAGGAGAAATTTCCGGGAAAAATTTTTTAGGTGCCCTTTCCGATAGTAATGTGCCCCTACAAGCCGGTGCCCCCCCCAAACTCCAGGTGCTTCCTACGCCCCTGAATTCGTACCCGCGAGCTTTGGTTTGCTAGTCCAATGCTCTATGCTCTACCATCTGAGATTCCCACCGCGTGCAAGCGAACTTTTCAGCTTGCCTTGGATAATAAATTATTTTGACTTAAAAGTGTCTTTATTGATTTCTATAAGGTTAATCAATCAGGTGTGTTACAGCAGCACACTTTAAGGTGTGTTACTGTAGCACGCCTTAAGGCGTGCACAGCACAGCAACACACCAAGGCGTGCTAACAAACACACCTTTTCTCAAAACACACCTAAAGGTGTGTTGTTTTCTGGACAAGCGAATAACACACCTTAAGGTGTGTTACTGTAACATGTTACACCTTAAGGTGTGTTGTTTTCTGGACATAAAAGGTGTGTTGCTTTAGTATACACTTTTTAAGAGTGCAGAGACAACATCACAAACATATGTCTTCATTTGACTTGCATGCGCCAGAAACAGAAATTCAAACAACAGATAGTTTTTCAATACATTATTCATATGACTGTTTTCGTACCTCCACAACGGTAAATGTTTTTGGAAAGTCGTCGCATTTCTCATGAAATGTTTGTGAAGAGAATCCATCTTTGGTGGCTTTGTAAATAAGTTGCCATTCCTGATGGGTATCTCCAAACCTGAAAATCGTCGCGGCATTCATGATAGAAAATAGACAGATTTAGAGAAGAAGACACGAGGTCTCAATTTCATCTCAAGATTGCGAGCTAAGGACTTCGATTACTGTAATAAATTGAAGATTTTTAAAATAACCTTATAAACAGCTAAGTTCCGGGGAAAACGATCCGGTGTCTGCTATTACAACAAGCGTAACCCATTTGAGTGCCAGCACTTTCCCCTTGACGAGTAAAATTGTCTGTCCTTTATATGGCTTATCGTGAAATCTATTAGGAATTTTACATATTTGTGATATTCAGTATATTCTAAAACGAAATGCAATATATTTTCCTAGAGAAAAACTTCATCTTCATTGCATGGGTTTTTTGTTGTTAAGGTTACTTTTGTTTCCTGTGCAGCGTCTTAATTTATAAACTGAATAAAGCCTGTTTTTGTAGGTCTGCTATTTGTATTCTGGCGTATGTAATTGAATAAGCACGCTAAAATGCACATATAGGCCGTATTCCCTGGCCCCAAAAGTCGCTTAGAAAACGATTTTTGTTGCCCCCCTTCGGGCACTACTTTAAATTTACATGAATCTATAGATATTTATACGCTGAGTTCGAATTCACTTGTTGTCACTCGCACAAACCTGCAGTTTTTTTGTATTTTACGATCAAACATCAACATTTTTTATTAAAATTTCCGCCATTTTGTTCAGGAAACTTCATGTTATATACAGTTATTGTACTAGTTCAAGTCTCTTAGCAGGGGGGTTGCACGCGGTATTACGCATTTTTGTCATTCTTCTGAGGAAAATATACAGAAATAAATAAAAATATAGATATGTTTCCACAATATTAAAGTGTGAAAGGTAATAATACATGTTTGTAAATAATCAGGAAATAATCTACTGTTCTTGTCATCCATGAAGACTCACTTGTCCTTGGTAAAGTTGTTTATTTTATTTATTATTGAAATTATGTACATAATGTTAGCCTTGCAATATGAATAGGCAATTTTCCTGGGTATTCTCTACCTGAAAATTTTGTCAACAATAAAGTTTTGAAGGTTTTATCCCTCAGAGAGATTTCAAAATAAATTTTAACTTTGAAACTTTCTAATCTCCTAGGTGAACCAGCCCAGGTAATCCGAGTTGATTTCATCCCATGTTTACAAGAGACTTTTAATTGAGGTGGGCTGGCTCGCAAAAACAGATCATTGGTATCACTGCTATAAATAGTATAATATAATACTTTTTACTTCTCAAGATCTTGCCTAGACAGGCCAGCCCAGTTCCATATAAATGCAAGATGAATATTAGTTTAAATTACATAGCGACGCTATCTTGGCAAAGCAAGCTAGCTCGGGTATCCGGCTGGCTTGAGTACCCCCTATAAAGGAAATGATGAATAGATTATTATTTAATGCCCAGCTGTTATCCAAGATCTAAGGCATGGAAAAAAGAGTCTTGGCTAGGCAGCTAGACTAGCCCAACTGGAAAGAAGGTTTATGTAACTAATGCATATTGGTAGGTATAGTGATGCCAGATTACTTTAAATTTCTAGTGCCTGCCTGGCCAAATATAAATTAATAAATTATCCCTTCTCCAAGTGCTAGGTAATGAGTGGCAGCTCAAATAGGATTAGAGCTTATTAAGGTGATGATGTATCATGACAATATGTTGTTAAACCTCAAATGGCTCGACCAGTTCATGTCTTTAGGTGGCATGACTTTGAGATTTGCTTGTGTGAATATAATTTTTTGCTTAGTACCTTTGTTCCAGCAAGCCCATGCATATGCTTGCCTCAACAGTGTCATATAAATTGAAACACCAAGCAAGCTTCTTGTATTATAGCTGTAATCAATTGGGGCTATGTTCTGTATGGCCACCATTTGCTAATGTAAATACTTTAATAACAATAAATTGATTAAAAAATATTGCTGGGTTAAAACTCTATATAAACAGACCAAAAGTAGGCTGTCAGTCTGTCTTAGAGTGAAAGATATCTTCCAAAAGTTTTTTTTATAAAGCTCAATGTCATGATAGCAAAAATTTTATGATAATACAAGAAAATGGAACATACCTGTACCATAGTTAATAGAATAGATGGTTTGGAAACTCATCAGAATAACAATATAACTCATTATCTATGTTAGTCAATGTTTACAGAGGTGTAACTTAACACTTGCCCGGGGCAAGTGAATATCATGACAGGCAAGTAAATGTTTTATCTTGCCCCCGATTGGGCAAGTTGCCTCTTGTCACAAAAAGCTCGGCTTTCATTATCGGATAATTTTTTTATGGTGCATGTACTTGATTCAAATTTTGTTTTTTGTGGGCCAAAGCTAGATCTAAGGAAGGATAACATAGCCATATAGAGCAGTGGGACAATGAGTCGACATGTTGCCCCCTTGATTTATACCCCCTGGCAAATTGCCCTGAAAGCAAGTGGTCAAAAAAAAAAGTTACACCACTGGTTTATTGATAAATCTGGTCTCTGTATTTTTACCCAACTAACCAATAGCAATGTCTTAGGAAAGTTACCTATCTGTGACTCGAACAATAGGGTAAATTGGGAATTGCAAGAATACAAGGTGGATTTGGCAAGAATACAGTACACACATGAGGATGAAGGACCAGATTTATGAATAAATGTTGACTAACATAAATAATGAGTTTCAGCCAAACCATCTATTCTATTAACTGTGTTGGAACTCGTTATGTGCAGATTTATTAAATGGATGAGCTAATTTGATTGAGGTCAACTGCTACTAATGGGCAATGGTCTATTTGTGTTAATAAATTATCTAGGTGACTAGGTCTAACATTTTATACTAAACAACAATAGGTGACAAGGTCTAACATTAATTAAACAACAAGTATATTGTGCTCCTTATTCATTGTTAACAAAAATTTGAAAGAAAAATTGCCTATTCACATTGTAAGGCTAAAATTATGTACATAATTTCAGTAATAAATAAAATAAACAACTTTACCAAGGACAAGTCAAGTGAGTCTTTGTGGATATAGTGACAGTCTTTGAAATTTCACATCAAGGTGAGGGCAAAAAACCCAAAAGTTGGTGCAATAAAGAATAGTAGATTAGTTCCTGATTATATACAAACATGTATTATTACCTTTTGCATTTTAATATTGTGAAAACATATCTATATTTTTATTTATTTCCGTATATTTTCCTCAGAAGAATGATAAAAATGCGTAATACCGCGTGCAACCCCCCTGCTAAGAGACTTGAACTAGTACAATAATTGTATATAACATGAAGTTTCCTGAACAAAATGGCGGAAATTTTAATAAAAAATGTTGATGTTTGATCGTAAAATACAAACAAACTGCAGGTTTGTGCGAGTGACAACAAGTAAATTCGTACTCAGCGTATAAAAATCTATAGATTCATGTGAATTTAAAGTAGTGCCCGAAGGGGGGCAACAAAACTGAACGAAAAGCGGTCAGGGAATACGGCCTAATATATTAAAACCCCGCATATGAACCGATAATTTAAGAACCTGTTAGGCTAAATATTTTTACTTAGCCCCCTGTTAGGCTAGAATTTCAAAGCAGGTTCTTATTTTATCAAATTTGTGACAGGAACACATATCTGTACTTCCCTTTTTGCTTGTTTGGCGTGTATATGTCGTGCATGATTGTTCACGTGTACTCACCAGTTATTTAAGATGCCTTGATATTTTGAGTTGTTTTTCCACAATATTGTTGTACCATGAAATTTCTTGGTGTGAACACGTGGTCGTAATCTGACGTCATCGTGATCATTGAATTTCTGGGGAACGGCAGCGTATCTGTATCTATATATGGAAAGAGAAACATTGCGTTTCAGTGTTGCTAAAAAAAGAGGATGAAATGTTTATCTATAAGACAGTGTTGATTATGCAAATGTGCAAAATTGTCTAGTATACACTGAAAACCCCCTGCAGAAACGCTCCTATTTTAAGACGTCCGAATCTCCAACTAAACAGGTCGCCAGAGTATAATAAAAGTGCCTGACTTGCAATATTTTGCAGATTGCATATTCATAACGTGGAAAGTTTTTTGCAACTGTGGTGTTGAAATGATGCGAAAAAATCGGAAAAAATTTTCCGCACTAACATAAGCATAGTCAAAAACATTTTGCCGGACTAACATAAGCACATTCAAAATTTTTCGACCAAGATTTTTTCACCGCAAACATAACAAAAGCTTTAAAATTGTTAAAATTGCGAACATTTCATAATTTTGTCTTTGAGCAACTTCGACCATCTTTTATCCCGAGTTTTACCTTCAATTTTAAGCATATATCAGTTCCATTTTGACCAACTTTGGGCAAGTATCAGTTCCATTTTGACCAACTTTGACCAACGTTTGAATTATTGGTGGGGTGTTACACTCCCCCCCCCCCCTATAGCGACGTCCCTGACGCCAACTTTTGGACAAGTAAAATTTGTTCGTGTGTACGGCCGCCAAGTAAAACTTGACAATTGTACAAGAAATACTTCCATGCTTTTGGCAAACAAAAGGCGCGGCCTGGACGTGAGATAAACGTTTAACAACATTCCGTGCAGATGAGCAACAAAATTTATCAAGGAAAACTCGTTTGCGTGTACGGGGCTTTAGCTGTTCGAAGTTCGGGTAATTTGTACATTAAAATTGAAGCATGAATTAGCTAATTATTCCACATACGTACCTTTCGAGAGACAATTCCATTGGTACAGCACCAGTGGGCTCTATTTCTTCGGCAAAAACTTTGCTGTCAACCAATAGCAGCCGTACATAACCTATTACATCGGACAAATACTGCAACAAAAATTATTCTAAAGTTTTTGGTATTTTTAACATCAGCAATGCAAGAATAGTAGAACACACCGCCGTCTACATTCAAGGTTTTGATTGTTTTATGTAATATTTCAAATCCGACTATGAGAGGACTAGCGGACAAGATTTCCAGTTTTAAGTAATATTCAAGTCGTAGGCGAAATTGAGGACTGGATCAAAGTGCGAGAACTTGAATCACAGAATCTATACTCCAGTCCGAATTGGAGGATTTGAAATGACATCTCATACGAGTAAATCGCTACTTAAAGCGAGGTGAATTAATTTTGATCCAGTCCAAGGATTGAATTAATTTTGATCCAGTTCTAGGACTGGATCAGTATACTTCATCAGGTATCCAGTATTATTATATATCAATAGTCAAAGTCGCATTTTTCTAGTGTTTTATTGGTTGAGAACATATCACGTGAGAGTGACGAAATTAGGCTGTCTCCCTCGCAACAGCGCGAGAGGGAGATAATACGTTATCGACCGGCGAATAACAAAAAAATTCACGTGCGCCATCACGTGAAGATGCGACCTTTGGACATTCCTAGTACGTAATTAAAACTTTCGCTTCAAGTAACTGCAGTGTAGCCAGTGTTTAATTTAACGTTTTAACAATAAAATATTTCATGTATTTACGTTCATTTGTTCTTTAATTTGTTGTTTCTTTGACTATTGATATATAATAAAACACTTATTTACTGAGACCTCGGGAAAGCAGTGTGTTTTGTGGACCCTCGACCGTCGATGTTTCCCTCGGCTTCGCCTCGGGAAACATCGACGGTCTCGGGTCCACAAAACACACTGTTTCCCTCGGTCTCAGTAAATAAGTGATAATTATCATGTGAGCAAAATAAAGCAATATGGTTGGCTAATTTACTCATGAATTTTAATGAGTTTTGAGATCTACTTTTGACATGGACTGTAAGTTTTAATTGAGAAAACGTGTGCCGGTGCTCTAGGTCGACGAGAAGATTGGATCAGATCAGAAAGCGAAATCTAGAAGCTCTACATACAAATTCGGAGAAAGTTGATTCTTCGTAACATATCTTTGGCTTAACTAGTTCGTATCAATGCTGAATAACTATAGAAAGGATCCTAAAGGGGTAAACAGGGAAATGGGATTTGCCTATTTTAGGACTGAGAAAATGGGATGAGAATGGGGAAGCCCATATACCACGTAATAACCTTATTCTGTTCCATGCATATAGACCCGTTGCACATGACGTCACAGCGCCGGTAACGACGCATCTGGAGGACAAATTAGCAATCTATGCCTAATATAACTTTTGTAAACAAAGCAAATTTTGTAAAACTTTATAATAATTTTGTATTAAAATGGTAATTTTTGCTCTGTATGTGGTTGTTGTACCCGAACAAATATTGTTAGGGAGCATCTGGAGGACACTCTAAGGATTTGTGACGTCAGTGCAATGGGTCTATACCATTATAAAGACAGTTGCAATTGAACATTTCAGAGTTTAAATATATAACTTTAAAGAAAGCTACGAACAATTTTTTATTAAGAATTTGCCTAAAAAAACTGGAAGATTTTATGTCCTTTTTCAGCTCGAGGTCATCTTTCTGCTATTGCGAGTCATGTCTAGTACGTGACAAAAAAGACAGCTATAGTATTCATTAGACTTTAAACTTTTTTACTTATTGAATTTTTAAATTTGGTAAAAAAAAGGCTGGGAGATCGATGGAATTGAGAATAAAAGTGAACTGGGAGTGGGATCTAGACCCTTCTTTTTCAGCCCCCCCCCCCCTCTTCAGGAGTCTCATTAAAGTGAGTGAAAGTCTATTGTTTATATTCTGGATTTTCACATATCTGTTACGGCATCAAGTTGTTTTGTTTGGAGTTGTCTACCCTGGGTAGCCTGAGTATCTAATCAGGCCCTGTTTTCCCTTCCTTAAATGCGGGTGGATGGAGAAATAGAGCCTGATACTCACCTTGCAGACATTTTCATGTTCATAATCAGTCCAATCTTCAACTGGTAATTCAACTTTAGCTTGATATTTTGACCATCTGAACACAGCACGCCACACATCCTCTTCGTCTAAACTAAACTATCATGCAAAAGATATACGTATACAAATTTTGCCGCAATGACATTATAATTTATTGCAATTGAATGATGGCAAATGGCTAATTGCCAACAAATTAACATTGAATCAGGAAAAAACTGAATGCATGCTGGTGTAGGCTCAAGACAGAGACTACAACAATCTTCAAGTAATCCTCAAATAGTTATTGGCAACCACATTATACAGCAGGTCTCAAGTAAGAAAGTTGTTGGGGTCATTATTGATGAACAGTTAAAGTGGAAAGAACATAACGATGCGCACTACAAAAACATTTCCTATATAGTCAATTGCTCTCTTGAAAAGAGCAAAGCAATTTGTAAGTTAAGATACACTTCGAAACATGTGTAATGCACTCGTCCTACCTCATTTCACATACTGTTCGAATGTATGGAATGATAGTAGTTGTGCACATATTGAAAAACTACACAAATTGCATAAGCGAGCCGCTCGAGTGATAACGGATTCAAATTATGAAATAAGATCATCAGAGATATTTGAAAAATTAGGTTGGGAAAAAATTGAAATCATTCTTAAAAAACGTGAACACATTATGACATTTAAAGCATTACGGGGTGAAACGCTCAACTACTTGTCAGACCCGTTTGTTGCCAGTCATAATGAGGGAAATACATCGACAATTTAATTAACATAATTCTCTTTTGATAAAATTGTTGTAAATAGATAGTAAGTGTGTTGTATTTCTAAACAATGTACATATGTATTCATAAACGGCCCCTTGAAAATTAGTTTCTCATTTAACGCTGAAGGGCTATACTGTTTTCAAATAATTTTAAATAATAATAATAATAATTATTCAAAGTCCCTTACAGAACATTTACATATTTCACACGTGAAATTTTAGAGAAATGGGCTTCCTCTATTGCCTGCAGAAAATAAAGGAAGTGTTGTCAAAGTTTTGGATGTTAAATCGGTCGAACACAAGGGACAAAAACGTAAACTCCTGCTAGCGAAAGACGAAACAGTTTACAGAGTCTAACGTTGTATGGAGACTTGCAATATGATAGTTTTTACAAAAATTTTCTTATATGGCAAACTAGACGGGAGTAAACGATAGCATCACACAGCGCGGTACATGCACATAGGTGGAGGGTCCAGGGGGCGAGGAAACTGCCCTCTGGGTGACATCATAAATAATTATCATAATTAACAAATCAATTTTAATATTTTATTTATTCATTTTATTTATATTTATTTAATTACATATAATAAATACAATAAACAACTAATATAATACACAATCAGAAAGAACAAAAAATTATGGATCCAGCAGCTTTCTAGGTTAATGGGATTTCAGGAGTGCAGGTTTCTAAGTTTTTGGGAGATTTGCAATATGAATATAAGACTCCTGTGCTAAGAGTGTGGACGCTTTCAGACGATATAACAGTAAAACCTATTCCAAATATATGCACCTTGAAAATCCAAGGTACGGATCAAAACCAATTTTTTCAAATGGTCGGCTGGAAATCGATTTTAGACGATATATAAGGCCATTTGAACATGACACCCCATCCCAACTCGGTTTTCCACACCATGCACTGAGACCAAGATAATGCAGACGGAACAAATTATTTTTTATTTCTTATTGCTTCTACATGTTTAATATAAATCAAAGACAAAATTAAATGTTTATTACGATTATCGTCATGTGATTCTTCATTCTAGGGTTCAGTAAGCCAGAAACTTGAAATCAAACCTTTTCCATTTTCATCAACCACGCCGTCATTTCAAAAATTTCTTTGCATGACAATGTTTGACATAATGACCACAACCTGTATCTCCTACCAATTCTGCGTAGACTCTTGCGCTCTTTATGGCCGTGTTTTTGCTTAAGCCAACTCCGCAGACGATTGAAGGGCAATTCATGTTAATAGGAACGTTTGGCGTTTTGTATCTGGCATACCACGATTTCTTAAGGGGCCATTCACAAAGGATGTCCGGCCAAATAATGGATTTTCAGACCCCCCCTCCTTGTCCAGCATTAGTAACCTCCCCCCGGACATCCGCCATGCCTCGTAAAAACTCACGCAACCTTGTATATGTCAAGAGTAAAAAACTCTTTTACTTTTAGAACTTTTTTATAACTATAAATGTGAATACAAGAACATATAAATTACTGATTAAAACAAAATCTAGTATTAACCGCATAGTCAAAATGCCAATTTCACAATGGGAAGGACTGCTCAAAATAAAGGGAAAGAGAATTTGTTTTTGATTTTTTTTTAAATTTCGGACATCCGGATTGCTAAAAACCCCCCTCCCCCCTATGTCCGAGTTTGTCCTGATTTTCCAAAACCCCCTCATCTTGTGAATGGCCCCTAATCAACTTGTAACTCAGTGCCCCAAAGCCCTGAAAAACCGCGCCACAGCCTCTGTTTGTTGATGAGATACAATAAGGAGAAACACGATCGAGAAAGCGAAGATTTTCATGGCGAAAGGCGAAATCTAAAGAGAAGATGAATGTTTCGATGTTGTGTTTGGCTCCTCGGAGGTTGTGCTATCACGTTATAACCAAAGATTGCCAGTTGCAATCAAATCACCAGCGCAGTTACATGCACTTTTCTTCATTCTATGCATGTGCAAACGTATAATAAACTTACCGTCAAAATGAATTCTTCAGATTTTTCAAAATTTTCCTTCAAACGAATTCTTCGTCTATTTCACTGATACTATAAAGTTCTACTTCGATGTACTGAGAGAATACTGACGAATAAGTTCAGGCTTGTGGTTAATATCGTGTCGGATTTAACTTCCTTCAGCACTGACACTGTTCCTTTGTTTCATCCTTCGGCACCAAGACTTCCGTTGGCATTTGGTTTACTTTCGATATGGCATACCTCGAAACCCGGACTCGGACCCAGACTCGAAAAAAATACGGACTTGTCTTTGAGAAAACCCAGATTTGACTTTTGAAAATCCGGACTCGAAATAGAAAGAACCGGATTTGATACAAGGACTCTGTGTACGAGATGGAAAGGTTTTTTGAATTATTAAAATGATAAACGATGGTATCTTTATATCTTCATCTCTATATTTTCTTTTAGTGTTAAAAAGAGAATAATCACTTAGGTATAGAGCGTTTGCACATTCCGCCACAACCGCCATGTTGGTGTTTCAATTCAAAAGAACATGAAACCTACAACCTCAGAGACTTAAAAACCCAGAGACATAGCAGCCCAAAAACTTAGAAACCTGCACTCCTGAAATCCCATTAACTTAGAAAGCAACTGGATCCATAATTTTTTATCCTTTCTGATTGTGTATTATATTAGTTGTTTATTGTATTTATTATGTAATTATTACATAAAATATTAAAATTGGTTTGTCAATTGTGATAATTATTTATGATGTCACCCAGAGGGCAGTTTTTCCTCCCCGGACCCTGCCGCTGTGCGATGCTATCGTTTACTAATTCCGTCTAATTTGTATCAGAATATAAGGCCCCTGCGCTGAGAGAGTGGTCGCTTTCAGATGATGTAAAATAAAACCAGTTTCGAATATATGCATCTTAAAAATCCAAGGTATGGATGAAAACCAATTGTTCCAAATGGTCGGCTGGAAATCGAGTTTAGACGATATATAAGTCCATTTAATTAAACTTGACAACTGATGAGACCAAGATAATGCAGACAAAACAAATTTTTTTATTGCTTTTACATGATACGGTTTAGTATAAATCAAAGACAAAATTGAACGTTTATTACGATTATCGTCATGTAATTCTTCATTCTAGAGTTTAGTTCAAACCTTTTCCATTTTCATCAGCCACGCCGTCATTTCACGAATTTCCTGGTTTGGCAATGTCCGACATAAAGACCACAACCTGTATCTCCTTTCAATTCTGCGTAGATTCTTGCGCTGTTTTGGGCCGCGTTTCTGCTTAAGCCAAATCCGTAGACGACTGAAGGGCAATTCATGTTAGCAGGAACGTTTCGCGTATTGCATTTGGCATAATACGATCTCTTAACCAACTTGTAACCAGTGTAACTCAGTGTCAGAAAGATCCTGAAAAACGGAGCGACAGCTTCTGTTTGTTGAAAAGACACGATAAGGAGCAACACGATCGTGAAAGCGAAGATTTTCATGGCGAAAGGCGAAATCTATAGAGAAGATGAATGTTTCGATGTTGTGTTTGGCTCCTCGGAGGTTGTGCTATCACGTAATCAAAGATTGCCAGTTGCAATCGAATCACCAGCGCAGTTACATGCACTTTTCTTCATTCTATGCATGTGCAAACTGCAAACGTATAATAAACTTACCGTCAAAATGACTGATTCTTCAGATTTTTCAAAATTTTCTTCAAATGAATCCTTCGTCTATTTCACTGATGCTATAAAGTTCTACTTCGGTATAACCTGAGAGAACACTGACGAATAAGTTCAGGCTTGTTGTTAATATTCTGTCGGATTTAACTTCCTTCAGCACTGTTCCTTTGTTTCATTCTTCGGCACCAAGACTTCCGTTGGCATTTGGTCAGCTTTCGATATGGCATGTTCCAAACCCGGACTCGGACCCGGACTCCAAGAAAATCCGGACTTGATAAAAACTCGAATTGAAAAAATACGGACTTGTCTTTGAGAAAACCCAGAGTCGAAATAGAAAAAAAACGGATTCGAAACAAGGATTCTGTGCACGAGAATGGAAATGTTTTTAGAGTTATTAAAATGATAAAGGATTGTATCTTTATATCTTCTTCTCTATATTTTCTTCTAGTGTTAGTTAAATTAATACAATAATCACTTAGGTATACTGGAACTAAATTATTTCGACACTAAATTTATAAAAGACTAAAATGTATTTATGCATGCTTCTATAGACTATATACGGAATAGCTATACGAATGTAGCAAGCGGCTGCCTGGTTCTCAATGCGACAATGACGTCAACCACTTAATGACGTCATTATCGCAATATCTATGTTGATTACGCCGAATCCGGGGGGGGTGTTCACCTACTGACGCTTGACTGCATGCATAAATTAATAATAATAATAATAATAAATTAACATACGGATTAACGTTTTGAACAATTTATTCCCGGCCTCTGAATGAAACACTTTTACACAAATAAAACAGTTGTTAAAGATGATGTCCACTCCTGTGCACATGCGCGAACTTTGTTTACGTTTTGAATTGCTATATTTGTAAAATATGATCTTGACTAACTGAATATCTAACACTTTCCTGGTTCGCTATGCTTGTAAATAAATGTAAACTGTACGTTTCAATTCAAAAAATTTGAAAGATGCAAAATTTTGGCAATGTTTATATCCGGGAGAACGGAGTGGAAATCATAGTAGTAAACATATTGCCCAGCTTTCTCACTATTCTCTAGTTTCGGTCGTTTGACTTTGTAAACTGTTCGGTCTTCGATCCGCTAGTAGGAGTTTACTTTTTTATCCCTTGTGTTCAACCGATTTAACATCCAAATTGAACACGATTCGTATTCTGGCGTATGTAATCGAATAAGCATGCGTAAAGTGGTTGCATTTCAAAATTCACTGTAAACTGAGCGAAGAGGAATTGTGGCGTCCGCTGTAATTTTCATACACCAGAATACGAATCGTACGCGACAAATCGCAGCGTGTAAACGTTCCTTTAGGATTTTTTATTGTCTCCTTTTGTTCTTCCGTTAGGATTTCTTGCAAAAAAGTAGAATGATTTATATGCTCGATTTTTTTCCACTTGAGTTTCGTCGGCAAATGAAGGACTTAATTAATATTCTCTTTAAACTCAAGAATGGGTTATATAATCTTGAGTGTGAGTGATATATGCCAAGAATGTTCAGACGAACCCCAATCTGGTTATAATTTAAGAACTTCTCATCAGGATTTTGTGAACTTAGATACAGAACAAACTATTTTGGTTATTCATATTTGCCTAGAGTTATACGCTCATGGAACAGTCTACCTCCTGCTTTAAAAACTATCACAAGAATAAGCACTTTTAAAACCGCGCTAAAGGAACTCAACTCTTTGACTATGTAACACTAATAACAAGTTTATACAGCGAGACAATTTTGACTCCTATGACAAGGACAGGCACGTGACATAGACCAAGTACATAACAAGTTTACATCGAACACGGTCGATACTAACATAGAATAATGATTAAAGATGTAGTATTTAAATGTTTTCACACTAGAGAATGTATTTGGTGGAGCTACTTTACAAACACTGTTCCATAATTTCACGATCCTGTTGAAATATGAGTTCTGATATGTTGTGGTTTTACACAGTGGAGTCTTGAGCAACAGGTTGGGATTACGACATAGACGGGAGTGGTTATGGGTTACAAACGAGACATAGTCATGAACATTGAGATCGGTAATACTATAAAAAGCCTTGTAGAAGAACATTAGATCTTTTATCTCTCTATCATAACACAAAGGTAGTAAGTTCAGATCAACGAGACGCTCATTGTAGCTGGAGTCACCCTTCCTAGCTTTCAATATCCATCTAGTGGCTCGCCTCTGCACACGCTCTATCTTTGTCTTCTGTGAGCAGATGTATGGGGACCAAACTTCACAGGCATAACATAGATTGGATTTCACCAACGAAAGGTACAAAGTACGTCGAACGCTGACGTCAGTCAGGAAAGGGCATGTTCTCTTCAATAGACCGAGCAGCTTGTTGGCTTTAGCTGTGATCTCATAGATATGGGAATCCCATGAAAGATTCATTCCCAAAAAAATCATTTTCCGACATCATTCCCGAAAAATCAGAAACTGCTTTGTACGCTGATGACACAAAAACATTCAGGAAAATTACTTGCGAAGATGATGCTCGCCAATTACAACAAACCTTGACAAACCTAGCCACCTGGAGCAATACCAACAATATGAACTTCAACGAGTTAAAATGTAAAGTGTTGACTGTGTCGCGAAAGAAACAACCTGTGGACTTCACATACCGACTGCATGGGCTCGACCCTCTCTCCTCCGCAGAGGCTTTAAAGCTCGTGTTCCAAGATCCGCCATGTAAAGTGTAGTGAAATGTATTTCATCGTAATTCGTAATATTAAATCCTAAGAAAACTAAAGCCTCTGCGGAGGAGAGAGGGCTCGACCACTCTTTCTCATGTTGAAAAAGAGAAAGATCTTGGGGTTACAATGACTGGGAATCAAGTCAAAGTCAAAGTCAAAATACTTTGACTTTGACTTGATTCCCAGTCATTGTAACCCCAAGATCTTTCTCTTTTTCAACATGAGAAAGAGTGGTCGAGCCCATGCAGTCGGTATGTGAAGTCCACAGGTTGTTTCTTTCGCGACACAGTCAACACTTTACATTTTAACTCGTTGAACCTCATATTGTTGGTATTGCTCCAGGTGGCTAGGTTTGTCAAGGTTTGTTGTAATTGGCGAGCATCATCTTCGCAAGTAATTTTCCTGAATGTTTTTGTGTCATCAGCGTACAAAGCAGTTTCTGATTTTTCGGGAATGATGTCAGGTAAATCATTGATGAATAATACAAACAACATTGGACCAAGTATGCTACCTTGTGGTAGACCAGATGTTACTGAGGACCAACCTGAAGCAACACCATCAACGACAACTCTTTGGGTCCGACCAGTTAAGTAGTTAGTGAACCAATTTAGCATCTTAATGTCTGTTTGAATATTACTGTCAAGGTTTTCTCCAATCTTATGTAAAACTTGCAGCAGTTGTGTAGTGCATGATCGATTGCGTAGGAAACAATGTTATCCGAAGGATATAGCGCTGATTATGTGTTCGTATAGTCGCCTACATACGCAACGTACGTTCCAATAGTTTTGCAATGATGCGCAAAAAAGAGGGATATCGGTCGGTAGTTCTCCGCTGGTTCTTTCAGATGTTTCTTGTGAACTGGTGTCACGTTCGCTGATTTCCACTCTACAGGAAGTCGTCCAAAACGCAAGGATACGTTAAATAATTCACAGATACTAGGCGCAATGTGCCGACCACATTCTTTTAGTAGACGTGCTGGTATCTTGTCAGGGCCACTCGCTTTGGTGATGTCTAAATTTCTGAGGTAATTTTCCACTTCAGCCACATCAACTGTTAATTCACCCAGTCCCGACTCAGTTTCAGACGCCTCACCATCACAATCCCCGGATATGTTCAGATATTGATTTGCATGGCCAGAGCCCCTCGTCGCACCGCGCGTAAGAAGGGCTCTGGGTACGAGAATGGGGGGAGGGGTATAATCGGCCGAGGGATATAATCGGGCGTGGTTACTCGGAATATTAAGAGGTTACCCCCTCCCCAGTTTTTCCTCCGTTTTGAAAGAATTAAAATAATTGGTCCTAAAGAAAAGTGGGGGTTTGTGGGAGGCTTACCTTATCACTTGAAACCAATTGTGTCAAGGCATCTTTGGAAAGATTAAGAAATCCCTCTGTGTGAACGACATCAGAAGCATTCTCCTCAATAAATGTTTGACACGATGTATTAACCAACTCGCTGGCTATACTGCTGTCGTTGCAAATATTTATTGCATCCATGTAAAACTCGCAACAGTTGTCAACCGATAATTCTTTCAGGAAAATTTCTTGACATTTTGATATTAACTTTGATATGTTTAACTCCACAGCAATTTTTAAGGTCTCTAACGTAATTTTTGAAGATAATTCAATCTGCAAAAACGATAATTTCATAAAAACACAAACTTTTTTAGCCGAAGACGGTAAAGAGGAAAGCACATTTTAAATGCTGGTACGAAGCTGTTACGCAGCATATTCAATGATTGTTAACATGTAAAAACATTCTCCGCTCCTGTTATCAAATTCATAGCTATAAGCTTGGAAATAAGCAATAGACTTTACTGTTTATTGCATTTTACCCATAGATATCTGTCATATCTCATTTTTCCCACAGATATTTCATATGAGATATTTATAATTTTGCCCCAATGCCCTCATTCAGTCCGATTCCCATGTCTTCCTGTTCTAAATCATGGCATGAACGTTAATCCCCACGACTATTAGACTATATGCTTCGCTTTGATCTTGAGCCAATTGTCAAATTGAGCCCAATCAAAAACATATCCTATTCCTTAACCCTGTAGTGAACGAAATATGAGGAAATAACCATGCCATTGGGGCAATAATGCTTTAGTAAACAGTAGAGTCTATTGACAGTGTAAATTATTGATTAGAATCAAGTCCTTTTTGAAGTTGAAAAATTAGAACCATTACTAAGAACCGCATACCTAATTTTAAGAATTTTTTATCACTGCACATTTTTGTGCAAAGTTTAGCCGAGCAGAAGCTACGCCCTCAAAACTTCTGAACGCACACTTTTTAGTAATGTGTAACCAAAAGAAGGCTACAAATGATATATAAAATGATCACAAAATCAACATGCACTGTAGAGCGCCCCCCAGGGAAATTTGGGGGCCCGGGGCCCAGGGGAAAAATTGAGTTGTGACCCCTCGTGATTCCATCTTCTAAGACTACGATGGAGGGGATCCGGGGGCATTCTCCCAAGGAAAATTTTGAAATCTCAGGTGCGAAAAATGGCCAAATCCTGCATTCTGGAAGTTTGTTGGCAGTTATACCTATATGTATATTTCAATGTAATTCTTTTCTGGGCCACCTTTAACTGGGGTCTAGCTCAATTTGCCCCCTCCCTTGCCTCTCTCTGGGCGGCCTTGTCAGCACTTGCTGTTACGACTTTTTATGACAGCGTAGTTTGATAATCATATGCTTGCAGGAACGAAATATTTTTGTTTTGGCAAATACGAGGCGGCTTAGGTGTGATAAACTGTAAAAGAGTTCCAGGGGAATGCACCCACAGAAATTTTGTAATCTAGCCTCTCTCAAAGGCCCTTTTTTCAATGTGCGGGGACATTCTATAGAATCCTGAAGATTATACACTAATATAATTACAAAAAGTTAAGGATCATTCACACCAACATCCAAGCTCATAAAGCATTTGATGAAACTTAATTAAGTATAATATTAGTGCTGACGTTCGATAAATTGGCAGTCATTATTTCAATTTCATTCAAGTTGTTCTCGTTAAAAATGTTTTGATTAGTAATACTTTCTAGTGATTATTAATATTTCTGCTCATTGCCTCATTTTCTTCATAAAATTGACAATTTATCACAGCAAATTTTATTGCTGTACATTTTACATTTTATCACTGCACATTCATTTTTATCACTGCACAAATTGGTTATCATTGCACACTAAAATTAGGTATGAAGAACCGTGCATGCATGCATCAATCCGTCATGCTTGATTTCGTACTCACTTCAATCAGGCTACAAAATAGTGTGTTTTATTCGGTTTTTCACTTTTTTGCCTTATTCTACTGTTTACGATTTATAAAAGCAATGAAGCATGCAAAAGTATAATGACTAACTGAATGCAATAAGGACAATAAGTCGTGTATCAATTTGGAACAATTCAGTGTCACAACTACAAATGAAATTTATACCTTTCCTGTGTAAATGTACTTAAGTACTTTCTCAAAAACCTCCGAACTCCAGTTTTGTTTATAAATAGGAGTATCCAAACATTTGTCATCCCGAAATTTCAAACATCTTGCTTTTAGGAGCAAACTGTGAGCTCGAAATTCTTGTTCGTTCGTGCCAACAATGAACAGAACATCAGAAAATTTTCTGCTCTTCAACAGTTGCTCAAAATCTTTCACTAAACTTTCAGTATCGTTCGAAATTTTGGACGATTTCGGCGGTTCTTTCGTATTGGTATCAAGGCCATTTTCCGCCATGATTATGTACATACAAAGTTTGCAAAAGGATTAAGATTTTGAATAATGTACATGCAAATGAAAGGCATTTTAATTAAATATTTTTATACTGTTGCCACTCGCTAATGCAGACCATTCCATATATGGTTGTAACGGTCGTAAAGATTGAGTCATGATCTTTCTCATCAGCCGAAATACAATATTTTAGAACTGAGAATACACGGAGAAATATATAACTAGAGAATACTTGTGATTTGGTATGAACTATTATATAAACTGGCCATTGAGAAAGATCGTGCATCATAACGCTATTTTTACGACCATATAATCACCATATACTACTAATAATAATAATAATAATGATTTATTATCAGTATTTCCATACAATGGCTCTTCACCTGATAAAAACTACTACTAGAATTAAAGAAATAGTACGTAAGAAAGTTATAAACCTAGACCTAAGCATTACAATTAAATAGTGTGAGACAGCGTTGCTTTAAAATATTAAAAGTTTGTCTGGAGAAGCCTCTATGATCTGTGCATGATTTTATATCAACTGGTAGAGAATTCAATAATGAAGCTGAACAATCTTGAAAGGTATTAGAAACTAAAGGTATAACTAAATTGACTTGAGCATTAGACCGTAAAACACGTGTGTGTTCAGACCTTTCAAGGCTAACATAGAGAGGCCAATCGCTACTATATAACGCCTTATGTGCGGCTTTAAGAATATGCCAGTCCCTTCGTTCTCGCATGGGTAACCAACCCAATTTTAAAATCGATTCAATACTATTTACATAACGTCCAGTCACAAAACTAGCAGCTGAGTACTGTATTCGCTGTAGTCTATTGAGTAGATGTTCGGTTAGTGGATAGAATACTATGTCACTAAAGTCTAAACGAGAAATAATTAAGCTTTCAGCCAGATGCTTTCTCAGGGTGAAAGTTGTAAAGTTCTTAATTTTTCTGAGATTTGCTAGGGTGCCATAGCACGTCGAGGCAAGATGTTTCACATGGGCGTCCCATTTTAGATTCTCTTTTAGGTGTACTCCGAGTAGTTTCGTTGATTTTACTCGTTCCAGTACTTTCCCTTCAACAGCAAGCTGCAGAGGGCGCGATGACAGGGAGTGGTATGTTGACATCTGACTGGTAGTGAACAGCATACATTTTGTCTTGGTTGGATTAAGTGCCAGATTCGATCCTTGTGACCAATTGCTAAGTTTAGTGAGGGTTTTATTCATGCTCGTTTCCCCAGTCGTGAGGTCTGCCACTTTGCAATGATTATACAAGGTTGTATCGTCTGCATACTGATAACAGTTGGTATGAGAAGAAATGACGTCATTCAAGTCAGCAACGTAGAGGTTAAAAATCAATGGCCCCAGGATCGATCCTTGAGGAATTCCAAAATGTATTGGTTTACGAGAAGAAGATTTATCGTCTATCTGCACAAACTGGGAACGACCAGATAAATAGCTCAGCCACCACTTCAGGAAGGTCTTTGAGAAGCCCAACTTATAAAACTTTTCAATGGTGCTTTTAAAACAAATAGTGTCAAATGCTTTGCTAAAGTCTGCTAGGACCATCAAGGTAATTTCCCCTTTTTTCATAGCATGACGGATATCGTCTCGTATCCCCAAAAGGACGCTTGTTGTCGAATGTCCCTTTCGGAAACCTGAAATGCGATCAGGTAGCAGCGCAGCTCTCTCTGCGAATTCTGACATTTGTCCAGCAACCAATTTCTCAAACACCTTTGATAACACTGGGAGTATTGAGATTGTCCGTAGCTGGTCATTGGATGTTGGGTTTTCTACTTTAGGAATTGGGGAGACTCTGGCTATTTTCCACAGCTTTTGGAAATATGCGTTGCTAATGCATTTGTTTATTATGCTAGTTAGAGGACAGGCAAGATGATCAGCGACCAACTTGACGAATCTGGCTGGAATATTATCAACACCAGTGGAACAATTTGAGCGTAATGCACGTATACATTTGAAGACATCCTCTGTTCAGGCAGATTGTCTGTTAGGCTTGTCAGGTCACTCAACTGAGACACAGCAGAGGCCTCGAGTGTTCTCTCTGCCGTGGTGGCAATGGGTATTTAGTTCGTCAGAGTCTACGCGAAGAGGCTTCGGATTTGGCTTCAGAATCCTGTGGATAACTCTCCATATATCGCGTGATTTGTTAGAAGACAGCGCTTTTTCGATGAATGCCTTCTGTGCTGATCTTATTGCAGACATTAAGTTGTTTCTAACAAGTCGAAAAGCGGTCCATACACCGTTATCAGCGTCGCTTTTATGAGCTTTGTCTTAAATGATCTCTTTCTTTTTGAAGAGTTTGGATATTGGCAGACTTCATCCATGGAGCCGGGGGACGCGTCACTCAGACTCTTCTCAAGGGTGCATGCCTTTCTAAACACTCAACGAACAGGGAGTTTAGGGATTCTAGTTGTTCGTCTGGGTCATCAGAATAAGCTATGACAGAGAAAGGTAAAGTGGAGAAATCCTAAATAAATAAACCTTCATTTAGAGACTTAATATCCCGATATATTTGTGCCGTGCTTCAAACCTGGGGACTCGTACATTAATATTTGCGTAAATGCCATCATGATCGCTGACAATTGAGCAGGGAATAATGCCAGTGTCAGCAATCCTTTGTGGGAAGTTAGTAATAAGATGGTCTATCAATGTTTTAGAGGATTTCGTAACACGTGTGGGTTTTTCTATAACTTGATGAAGACCAAAAACATCCAAGATGCATTGGTATTGTTTTGTTAAACTATTTTCAGCTTGAAGCATGTCAATGTTCATGTCTCCAGCAGTGGCGCCGTTGGACCCATGTTTTTGTTTTTTTTTTTTGGGGGGGGGGGCAAGGGCCGTACTTTTCCGACAAACCAGAAAATATTTTCCGACAGAAATTTTTTTGGCGACCTCAAAACCAACGGCCACAGCGCCACTGGTCTCCAGTTAGGATAAGCATTCCATCCCATGTGACAGTTAGTTGACTAACTCTAGACTTTCCAACCACTTTGCCGTAGAAAGCATGCGGATAGATCTATACATAACTCCGACAAGGATAGATCTATACATAACTCCGACAAGTGCTTTGCTGTGAATATTCCTACCGGGGACCTCTAGCCACAAATGCTCGAGCTCTGGATGGAGTTTCTCAATGTCGAGGTGACGTTTATACTTGATATCTTCTTTTATATAAACACCGACACCACCGCCTTTGATATCCTCCCGATGACGGAATTCAGTAGCATGTCCAGGTATGGGGACGTATTCCATCAACTGGGGGTTATCTTTTAGCCAGGTTTCACTTAGAGCTATTATATCTAAAGGATAGCTATTAACAGTGAGTAGGAACTCGTTGAAAGTAGATACCATGGATTGGGTGTTTAAATGCATGATCTTTAGATGCGATGTTTTGGTTTGAAATATACACTCTAAGTTCGAAGAGTCCTGAGATGCCGAGGTGTGGGTTAAATTTAAATTTAGGTCATCTTCTATCATTTCTTCGGTGGAGACTTTATAAAATGGAAGTTGAGAAATGGTGCACTTCGAGCAAACCCAGACATAGTGTTTATCTGCACGGATGGTCTTTATTTGATATGCAGATATACCGGTACATTTTGCGTGAAATTGATCATAACGCACTTCGCACAAAAATCGTTTGTGAATAATCTGTACAGCCTTTTCACAGGACGGGCACTTGGGAGCCTTATTTCTTTTTACAGCTGTTTTCGTTCTTGTTTTCAACTTTATCAGGACCAGGATTCAACGCGATGTCTACACTTAGTATGAGGTGTTGAGATGCCATAGAGTTATTATAATACGGTACAGATCTTTTCGAGAAAACTAAGCCTTTTCGTTGCAAGAATACACAAGTATTAGTTTTAACGGTAAATGGAATAATGCGCCATTTAACTATTCGTTTATATCGCCAGGAGTACAAAGGATATAATATATTCAAGTCGTTCCATTGACTGCCTCTATTGATACAGCGTATGCAAATTTCTAACTTTCCAGCATGTTGTTGTAAAACATTGGGTTTTTCACAGCCTAGTCCCAGGCTCTCTCTCTCTATTCGCTGCTTTGACATATTTAAATAAGTCTTAAAAGTTTCGCTCGCTACTCTGGTTTAAATAAATGATTACAAAGCCCAGTCGAATTGTAATCAAGACCCCACCAGAGTAGCGAGCGAAACATGATTGATATACCTGGTTGCAGTGAACGAACAAACTTTAAGTCTTAAAAGTTTTATGCCTGGGTGTGCTGGGCGGAACGCTTCAGCGAGAGAGTCTAGCAGATTTCGATAAAATGGTCCCTGATTTCAAAAAAGTGGTCCCTGACCTGGTTACCAAGCATGCAGCATTCGTAAATAGAAAATGTTATGGAAATTTCCTTTGCGTTTATAATTAAGTCATTAGTTTTGCTCTAATGCTGTCGGAACAATGAAATAGGCTACGTTTCTAAGGCTACTAAATCTGACTCGTGTTTACTAAAATATAAAGCCATATTAAATGCTATCTAGAAGCTTGAAAATTATGCCGAGTCTCCGACTAAAAATGTTTTGACAACACAGTCATGCCAGGCAAATATTTCCAATCTGCTCAGCTACTTAAACTTGTCAAGTAGAAAGCGTATAGTTGTGTATACCAGTATGGTCTAGTGTTGATAACAACTTGCGAGTATATAAATAACATCAACGATTATATATTGTATATAATTTTTTTTAATTGAGCACATTTTAGTACAGTTTGAATTTGGTTATGTAGACATCGAACATGATCAACGAACATTGTTGTATTTACAAGGTTATTTGTATATATAAATTTTTTGCCATATTAAAAATATTGAAATCTGCTAGGCGTTCTGAAGAACCCTTAGCGGTGACGTCACACCTAGGTCCCAGTCTTGTACTACATCCACGTTTTTTCTCGCGCTTGCTTCAGAACGACTGGGACTAGGCTGGGGTTTTTCATAATACTTGCTCAAAACGTGGTTTCTTTCCTGTACAGTTTGACGATTTCGTGGGACTTGTAGAGCAGGAACAAAATCCTCATGATTGCCAGTAAGAATTGTCTGTGAGTTGTTCTCAAATTTCAGGTTACTCGTTCGTTTCACGCAGAAGTATTTGCAGTTCGATGTTGTTGATTCGAAGCGATTCAAACCCATCAAGGGGTTATATAGCGATAAAACATCTCCTAAAGCACATATATTCGATGGTACAACCGAGTTTACCAAAAAGAGATTCAATTTAGGTGATAAATGTTCGTAAAAGGAGGGTATAAAGAGAAATATGACGGAGGCCACAAAAACGTGACTAGTCGCCATGGTTCAAACATTTTTTAGCATGGTTTCTCGTGAAATTTAGATAAACATGCACTCGTGAGTTTTTCACGTGGTTTTTCAAAGACCTCTAATAGCACTCGTCCTTCGGACTCGTGCTATTTTGAGGTCTTTGAAAAACTCACTCGTGCATGTTATATCCAAATTGCACTCGAAACCATGCTATTACCTATACTAACAAGTTGTCAAACTGAATGTCATGCTACAGTTTGATTAACCGTGACAAATAATTTTAGTGTCCTGAGAATCTTAATAATACTGAATTAGGAATATAACATGGAACTAATTTAGATATCATGCATATGCAGGGTCTGATCCTATGGCAAATTTACAGATGCTGGCAAAAAAGGCTGGAACCTCTAGGGAGCACAAAATTTTCATTTGCCATGCAACATTCTAGATTTATACAATCACTATTGCACTATTAAGATGGATTCACTATAATTGCATTTCTGAGGTCATGTATAGGTAACATTCTTTCCATTGGTTAGAACTTTTCCTCTGAATTTCTCCTTTCATTTAAACTTTTACAATTTATTATCGCTTTTTCTTTCTTGCATGGGGAAATAGTTTCTGGGGACAATGAGCCTGTCAGTGTCACTGGTCCGATACCTTTCCACCCCTGATCCTCAACAGCGTTTTCATTCTGAATGCATCGTTTAATTAAACAAATCTTTTCACGTCTATGGAGCAACGTGAATGCTTGTTGCGACTTTGGAGGAGTTAGATAAAATCTACTTCATAGCAGCAGATACCGGATCGTTTTTCCCGAACTTTGCCGTTTGCCAAGGTCATATTTTATAAAACGCTTCCACATTTATTACAGTAATCAAATTCCTTAGCTCTCAACTTGAGCTTAGCTCTCAACTTGAGCAAGTTTGCAACGTCGTCGTTTCTAAATTTTAATGGACCCTGCAGTAGCGTAGCCAGCCCGACGATTTAGTCCCGCTATGCAAATATTTTCGTGTTCATTGACTGTGAAAACAATCAATTTCTAAAGAAATGAATAATGATAATAATTTGAATTTGCATAGCGGGACTAAATTGTCGGGCCGGCTGGCTACGCCACTGGGACCCTGTGAACTTGGGGCAATAAACCTTGTAGGGATCACCAGTCATTTATGAAAAAGCTCGTAAATAAAAAATAAATTAATGTCTATTATATTAGCAATGATACTTCTTCAATGCTATTACTAGACGGTTTAATCTCGACTTCCGATATCGATGTCTTCACTTCCGTTCTCATTTTGGTAGCGGGAATATTGAACACATTAACCCTCCCCGAAAATGTGCGGTATACTAAACGGCAGGTGAGCTAAAATTCCGACTAAAATATGACTCAGGCGATGCTAAGGGAGTGGTCATTATTTGTGGGGAGGGGGGGGGGGGGGGAAAATAAGGTGATAAACTTTTTTGACCCCGTTCACTGAAGGCAAACTTTTTCTGCTCCCTTCCTCATAAAAGTAGAAACTTTTCTGAACCTCATCGGTATTGGTATCGGAAGTCAAACTTAAACTCTCTAATGTAAATGACACGAATGCAGGACACAAGCTGGGGAAGAAAACCAAACTATTTATTATATTTATATGGACCATTTAAAACTTTACTAACTTTACTAAGAAGACACGAGAACTGAATTTACTGGTATAGACAATTAGAGTTTTCAGTCAGGATATTTGAATGGACGCAATTTGTTGTAAAGACTAAAGTGCGCGAAGATAGGACACCGCAAGCGGAATTACGTGAGCGAAATTGCGGAAGCGCAATGGGGATAGTGATACAAAGCGGAAATGGGAATAAATTGTAATAACACAAAATTAATAAATACCATGCATATACTTTACATTAAGGTTACAGAACACCTTTGAGTGTTAATTTTGCCTAAATATTTTTTACTCGTTTCTATGAAAGCATTAGACTGGTTCCACTATCTGATCAAGTTTGAACGAAAAATGTTGAAAACTCGCAGAGTTATTTAATAGAATACATTTCGCAGTAATAAGAAAAATATTGAAAATGTAGTATTCAAATTCGATTTTCTCCCGAAGAATTTTACGGTAATTACTGATTTTCAAACGAGTTGTTCTCCTGCGGGCTTTAACGAATTTTTTTCAAATTTTCACAGGACATAGCTACAGACGTCAGTTTCAAAACTATGTTCGACTTTTTTCTAATTTTGGATATTTTAATAATAAGGAGCAATTCACTCAAACGATTCAGAAATATATTGCAGTCGTCAAAGAAATCGCAATATCAGCGGAATGACGAACACAATTTTTTAGAACAACTATTTTGCTGCATAAAAAATATATTTTCATAAATATATCTTAGAACCAGCACGAACACAACCCAAAAGCGTAAAGGTACCGCGATTTAAGATTTTGTCAATTTTACAATATATTTTGCATGCACTGGAGAACATTTGGTGAAAATTTGATGAAAATCGGACTGATATTGAGCGCGCAGTAGCGATTTTCCGCAAAACGCCCAAAAGGGTGTCCTGTAACCTTAACATGTTATTTATTCACAAATGCTTCGAATTCAATGAATACAAACAAGTATAAAGCCATCTGATGAGACCCATTTAGTAAGCTGGTTCAAAATTCAATTCAATTCATACACTTGTAAATCGGTACGCCTTTAGAAATAAAGAAACTTTATTTTATATTCTGTGTATTTTTCAATCTGTCAAAAATATATGCATTCATCCAAGCGGCACGGTCTCCTCATTACTATGCCTCGCTTCCATATTTTTGCTTTGGCCTTTGTCTCTCATTTGAATGTCAGATTAGTATGATTTCATTTTTCATACCATTCGCTTCCCATGCACACAAACAGTTGCTTTACAATAAAAAAACTATAAAAGTAACATTAACTCTGCTAACGTTAACGGTGGATTTCATTGTTCCACAGGCTTTACCGGTTCAAGCTAGAACCCCTCTTCTGTACAATAGTCGCTCAGGATTGAAATTAAACGATACGGAACAATATACATGAAGATGTGTGTGGTTAACACTAGCAATCATAACAATAATGTATAAAATTCCCTACTATGACGTATAATCGGACCTGCGGTACCTACACACACTAAATAAAACAATCAACAAAAAAGCTTACAGATGTTTCCCACGTGAGCTCTCGTCCAAATTCTCCAAAATCTTGGCTTACTGTATTGCATGGATAATATATATAGTAGACACTCTCTTGCCTGAAATATAATCTCACCTAATTTCACTATTCTGTCAACACAATTCTATATCATATTGCATACAGTATAATAGAGTTTTAACTTAAAATATTAATGCAATAATCTTTTGGGATGTTAGTATCGAGACAGAAATATTTGCAAACATTACAATAACTGGGGCTAAACGCTTTTTCGATGTTTATTTTATCTATAATTAGCGCAGATACACCATTGATCAGGTTATGTCAGTGAAGGATTAAGTTACAAAATAAAGGTCGTATACTTGCTGGCATTCTCGCTTCCGAGTTTGGAAAAACCTGCAACCTAAACTGCAGTGAAAACAACTTAATAGAAACAAAGAAATTCCATAGATTATCTGTTAAATATCGGCCATTTTGAAGAGATCACAGTTTATTCACAGCAATCACAGATTGCAAGCATGCGACATCGTCGCCGGAGTAGTAGTGGCGTCGCCAGGGAGGGAACTGGGGGGGGACGAGTCCCCCCCCCCCAGTTGTTCTAAAGACCAATTTTGAGATTTTTCTAAATCTGAAGAGAAAAGGGGGGGGGGGTACGATTATTTTAATTTCTAACATTTCTAATGTTTTTTCAATAATGGGTGTGATGAATTAATTTGAGATACGAATTTTGAATTCAATTAACACTGTTTTTGATAACGTAAAGAATAACATTATAACATGAAGTATAAATACTTCGTCAGCTTAAACCGGAAGTCAAACCTTTGCTTTTGCTCATTGGATTCATATTTTCTTTGGCGCCATTTATGGAAATCATATAGATCCTCATAAATGGAAGTGCGCGACCCCTTCCCAGCTAGCAAAATTACGTTGTCACAACGTTGTATAAACGTTGAAATAACGTGAAAAGAACGTTGTGATGGACGTTGTGTCAACGTTATTTTGTGAACTCCCAGAAACGTACTAAAAACGTTGTGAATAACGTTGCGTTGAACGTTCATACAACGTTCACACAACGTTTCCACAAAGTTTATACAACGTGCCCAGAACGTTTGTTCAAACGTTGCAAAATGTGAGTATGAAAGGATAATTTTGGCGCCGTAGTAATATTGTTCATTATCGGGTATAAAACTAAAAAGAGTGCTTCGCTCCAACTATACAGCCGCTACTCGCATAAAAAATCCCATGGAATTATGTTGTAAAAGGCCGAGGCATGTACACAGAATGCTACCAGTGTTTAAGAATGCAATTCAATTTTAAATATCTTAGACTTCGATTTAAAAAAAATATCTTAGACAAAAGTCGGATCGCATTGTCGTATTGCACCCGGGTAGAACCCTAATTAACTCGGATATCAACCCCACTTCTGGTTATGGTTACTGTAGGCTCGGGGATAAGGTCGGATCCGATCCGCGTAGGGATCCGATTCGACCTTAACCCCGAGCCTACAGTAACCAAAACCAGAAGCAACCTCGCAAGCCAGGGTCTTTATACCTGCCGTAGCCCTCGCGGAAATATAAAGACACTGCATAGCTTGCGAGGTTGAACCACAAGTGGGCTTGATATCCGAGTTCGATCCGGGTGCAATACGACCCGACTTTTGTACCTGCATGCCCATCTCAGACTGCAATAACGAAAGAACTTATATTTAGAAAACATCCAGACCATATATACAGTATATATGCGACAGTAACACATCAATCAAACAAGTTTTTAAACGTGAACAACTTTAATAACCTAATAATTATCTAAATTTAATCATGCAACATTACAGATTTGATATTACAGTATAGTCTATAGAGAGAACGTATAGTCATATAATAATATATAAATTCTGTAATAAATAACTTAATCTTTGTGACTTTCACGGTCCTGAAAAAAAAGAACTTGTTTAGAAAGGTTCCCTCTAGGCGTGTTAGTTGGATTACAGTGAATTATTCAATATTTACCTTGTATCTTGTGCCACCTGGCTTGTTTGGTGCATGTTTCAAAAATTCTGCGAGCTGCCACTCGACATCGACGTCATTAGCCTTCTTGTGCACTCTTCTGCAAGCTTCTAAAGTTAAAGGTGAAATAGAGATTTAATTTATTTGTCTATCAAGACGCAGACATAGATACTTTACCTGTATAAAAAGCGATGGCTGCATAATAAGCCTATATTTGACCCATGACATAAATATAACCCAACCTTTGCTTAAATCAGTTTGACAAAGATTTGCAACAACAATATCCGCTGGCAGCGACGTTGTAAACAATACTGTATATAGAAGTTTTGCTGAACATTAGAAACTAAAATTTAGGGTAATATTTTATGGCAAGTACATGCAAAGCAGTCCAAGACCAGTGGCGGAAACTTTGCTAAACGTTTTTGAGAGCACATTGCGAGCCTATATCTTCAAATTGGCATTTTTATCACGATATTTCCATTTCTGGTCCGACTGTGAGCTAGTCCCAACCGTAAATACAATTTCACAACGTTAAAACAACGCGACGTTTCTATCGTATGACTTTGGAAATGCCAGAAATCGATTCTATAGGTAAAGTGCACCTATACGCGATACGCGTGATTTTTGACGTCGTCCGGCTATGGGCTCCCGATTGGCCTAGACTTGCTCCAAGTCTCTTTTTCATTGTCATGTAGTATTGATCCACTATAGTGTACATCACATGACGTAGTACGGATGGGAGGAGCGAGAAAGAGAGACTTGTCAACTTCGGAAATTCTCGGTTCAAAACTGAACCGAAAATGCAAGACTTGCTTTAATTGTTTTCTGTCAGTGTTTATATGTCTTAAGGTACGTTTACACGCTGCGATTTGTCGGGCCGATTTTGCTCGCTGTATGTAAATGACCTGTCGTCAGTACTCGCGTCAGCACCTTGCGATTCACAAAATCGGGAGAAAAATCTGTAACACTAACACAGATTTTTCTCACGATTCAACGATTTTTCTTCCGTTGTAAAGTTGTTGAAAACTTTTCGCACGCAGAAAACTATAATATGAACAGACGAGAGAGCGGACAGCTTCAATTGAACGTTTAAATCGCTAAATGTCGAAGAAGGGCATCGATTATTTACCAAAATCGGCCCGACAAATCGCAACGTGTAAACGTAGCTTTAATCTAGTATAGTGTAAATAACACGAGTTCAATTATAGTAAATAATACAGAAAGAAATTGAAGTAAAACAATTAAAGCAAGTCTTGCATTTTCGGTTCAGTTTTGGACCGAGATTTTCCGAAGTTGACAAGTCTCTCTTTCTCGCTCCGCCTCTCCGTTCTACGTCATGTAATGTACACTATAGTGGATCGATATGACAATGAAAGAGAGACTTGGAGCAAGTCTATATTGGCCAGGTATTATAGCATGTGGCCCACATGTTACATTTTTCAAAATGAAAGCTAGTTTCCGCCACTGTCCATGACTGATGAAATTATGAAAAACAGATTAATACAAATTACTTACTTATCAAAATCCTGCTAATTGTAAGGTCTTTCAAAGGCAGTTTTGACTTTTTTCCTTTCAGACTGTAATTAGACCACAGATTATTACTGCCAACTTTCGCAAAAATTCTCCTAGTGCTTATCCCACAGTTTACAGTAAATACACAAAACATATTTTGTTAATACATTATTTCAAAAACTCACTAATGATTAATGAAGAATAAATTCAATAAATTTGCCTAAAATATATAAATATGTTAGAAAAGAATTATATTCTACTGTAATTGAAGTCAAATTTCACAGTGGTTGTACTGTAAGTGAACTAAAAAACTAAAAGAGCAATGGCACTAAAACACGTTTATTGGCATTCAGCGATATCCAACTTAAATCTTGGTGAAAACATTTCTGGAACTGACAAAATTAGCTAAAAATGGCTTATTAAATATTAATACATACGACATGCAACAACTTAATGTCTTGAGACGCATTATACTTTATTGTCAAACTGTCGTACTGCTTGTTTTGCCCCACCCGGTAGATATATATACTCTGTACAGCGTCCTTCACCTTGGATAATGAAAATAGTATTTGTAGGAATACTTACCATTTTCATCGTAAATTCTTGATCATCGTCAAGGCGAGACGACAATTTATTTAAATCGTCAACAGAGTCGACTGGACTTGGAATTATGTCCTCTAACATTACATCTGTATTATCAGTAGCTTTACTGGTGGCACCCATAGATATCTTATATACACTAGATAGCGCATCTAATTATTCTGCAATTCAAAAATTGAAGCCGTGATTGCAGGCTCAGGATCTTCCCATGAAATGAGAAGATTCGTATGTATCCTATTTCTTAAACAGGCAACTTAAACATTAAGTTAATCCTATTATAAATACATTTTCAAACTATTCAAATGATGAAAGCGGTTATTGTTATTTTTTAAGCGTTTATTAGCGAGTGGGAAGCTCCAACATGGCCGCCATCTATTCAAATGGGGGTAACCGCTGGGATATTCTTGGCTTCAATTTTACTAAAAGAGATGCGCTATCTAGTTTATATAAGATATCTATGGTGGCACCGAGTAACATCCTCAAAATAGAAAGACCTTCATCCTGTTTTTCGATCATAATGTCCAGTTTCGTGAGGACGCATCGCTGAAAGTCTACAAATAATTTCACCATTAGCAAGTCTCCGTAACGTGCGTTTCGTAACTGAAAGGGTACTTGGAAAAGCACTATGCAATTACTAATTTAATTCAACAAAAAATATCAAAGCGTTGGTATGGTTTAATACTTTTGCATTCCATCAATTTGGAAACCAAGAAAGGTTATGTAAGAAAGGTTTTTCTTTTTTCTAATCAATTTTCATTCCATGCCAAATTTGATAGCATGAATAGCACCTAAATATACGAGAGATCTCGAGCGAAGGTCCTTTATTGGGAGTTGGTAGCGGGAATCGGGAAAACACACGACTGTGCTTTTATATCAGTGAATACAAAAGCGTACCAGATGAGCGTAGTCAAAACAAACTACAAACAAAAAGCAAATCACACTACAGAATATGCAAAATAGAAGACTATAGGAAAATATGCAGCGTATGACAAAGGGTAAAAGTAACATGCTGGCTTTACAAACTTAAAGAGTCATTGTCAACCACAATGCATCTGTTTACATTTTACCTTGAAAGTGATGGAATGTCAACAAAATTAATAACGGTTATAAACAATTCTTTGGTGCTTTGTCGTTACAATTCAGTTAAAATGAGCAAGTATAACCATAGGACTATTGAAATATATCATGGTCTTGTGGTCAAATGTGGTCAAATATAGTAACTTACTGTCTTGTTGATCCTGTCTGGTGGAACTTGATTTACCATTATGTGTTAACACTGGATTCTCATTGTTAAGGCTCGTTGTGCTTTTGTTCAATCCATCTAAAAATTGGTAATGGTACTAGTTAAATTGTATAACAATGAGGGCATGCAACCATAAATTACACAGTGGTTTGGTTTGAAATTTTTGAAAAAAATGAAATTTGTGCTTGCAAAAAGCTATTACAATACACTGGTGTTAAATATAAAAGTAAAGAGCATGCATGTATACAGTATGTTAACCTGTTACACACGTAAAAACGCACAAGTTGTAACAAATCTTCAAACAAGTTGTTAAAGTCTTGATACTTGCTGTGTTGGTGTAGTGTACTCAAGTGAATAAGATGCATGTGATTGTTACTCTGAGTGTATATCCACACCGGGAAGGCTTGAAAAATATGCCTGGCCACGGTGGGATTTGAACCTACGACCATTGGAATACTAGCCCAATGCTCTGCAAACTGAGCTACGCGGTCAGGTCGTTTCATATTTTTCAAGCCTGCCCGATGCGGATACACACTCAGAGTAACAATCACAAGCATCGTATTCACCTGAGTACACTACACCAACACAGTAAATATCATGATTATTAGATTACACTGATATCGAAGGAACTAGACTCAGTTCCGAAATATCGCATACTCGAACCGACCTGACCGCGTAGCTCAGTTGGCAAAGCATTGGGCTAGTGTTCCAAAGGTCGTAGGTTAGTATCCCACCGTAGCGAGGCATATTTTTCAAGCTTGCCCGGTGTGGGTATATGTTCAGAGTAACAATCACAAGCATCTTGTTAAAGTCTGTTCACAAGCTGTCAACAAGTTGTGTTCGCAATGTTTGTTCCCAGTTTTGTTGTAACAAGTGTGAAACAAGCTGTTAACGTAACAACTTGTAACAAGCTTGATGGTATTATCAGCCCTGTTACAAGACTGTGCTAACACGTTTGTCACAGCCATAATATAACAAGGATGTTACAAGGTTGTAACAATCTTTTTATTTTAAGCATGTACCGGTAACAAACTTGTCAGAACAACCTTGCAACATGTCTGATCATTTCGACAAGGTTGTTACAAGTTGTCAACAAATTGTTCCAAACCTGTTGACAACTTCTGTCAAGCAGTGCGAATACATCTTGTTGACATCTTGTTGACAGCTTGTTGGCAGATGTAGACGATACGTCTAATACGTAGTCATAACAAGCACAAATTTTTAAACTTACTTTGATGCTGTCTATAAGAATTTGAATAATTTGGAGTACTGATAGGTGTACAAGGGGTACTTGAGTGAACTGGACGACTAACACTGCTCACATTATTCAGGCTGGTAAGTACGTCTATGCAAAGATAAAGCAATTTCAAAAGTTATAGTAGTTGCAATGAGTGAACATGGAATTGCGATTTGCTTCTAATATAATCAATCAATTCAGAAGTGCTCTCACCAACCGGAGTTGGATCAAAGATAGTGTATGTTAACCTCTTCGACAATGCGTCTATGTAATCATAACGACAGATTTTTCAAACTTACTTTGATGTTGTCTTTGAGAATTTGAATAATTTGGACTACTTGTAGATGCACAAGGGATACTTGAGTGTAATGGACGACTACCACAGCTTACATCTGCACAAAAATAAAAGCAATCTCAAAAATTACAGTAGCTGCAATGTGTTAACATGGAACTGTGATAATTCTTCTAATTAATCAATTTCAGGGTGTTCTCACCACTTGGTGTTGAATCAAAGACAGTGTTAACCGCAGATATAAGGGCAGCTGAGAAATCTCCATTTCTATTTAGTCCATGCAGGGGATGATGTAACAGGAAACATGGGTGCTGCAGGAAGAAGTGGTGTGACTCCGTGTGAGAGCAGTACGTGTTAAATTTTCTTCGTGTGCAAGATTATCTGTTTCATTGCCTTTATGTGAGAGAAAAAAGTAAATGTACAGTTACAATATTGGTAAAAGTTATCGACCTATATTCAATGGATCGATAACTTTATTGTTGTATGGATGATTCCAAAAAGAAATTTGGCTGCAGTCATACAATGTATTTTTATTGGAATATTCCTTTGAAATCGTATTAGAATATTTTATGTTTTAATTAAGGAACTCCTTTAGGAATACTGTCATTAGTCTGTTGTATAAGTAAAAGTCTGAATTTGCTACTGGAATTCCTAGAGGATCCTACTGGACTTTTGTAATCGGAAAATATTCAAACAAACTCACAGGTTGAAACTTACCATCGTAACATTCCGACAGTTCAGCATAATGGTAACTTCCTGGTCGACTTCTCTTTCTTGGGGTGTTAGGTTTTGACCTCTTTCTTCTTTCGCAACCATCTGAATCAGACTCTGAATCAACATTTGATGTTTCTTCAGCTTTTTTTAACCGTTTTTGAGCTGTCTTGAAATTATCTAAAAGGCATTAGAAAATGGTACAACGACTGAAATTCAAATACAGTTGTACCTCTCTAATATGGACAATACAGAGAGGTACACATACTGTTATTTTGCAACACAATAGTTGATGCTTGTAGCAATAAATATTGCACCAGATTTATAGGTGAACTGCATGAATGGGCAAACAGAACATGGTTTTATACTAAAATACATTATACTTAAATACATTAATACCGGTGTATGACAGCACCCTTATGTTATACTTCTTCCATAATTCTTTGTCGGGGATCTCAGCTTTTTTAGCTTTTCCTTTTGCATTTAACTGTGGCCAGTAGCTGTACATTACCTAAGATAAAAAATAGACACCTTGCATTATAAAATACTAACCATAGAGCTGGTTCTGTAGTTTAACAATCTTTTGCAAAATATATGACATCCTCAACGTAACATGGTTTCCTTTATGATCACCCATATATACCGCTACATATAATTACTGAAAATTGCAATACTTACCCCATCACATGTCTCTATCCATTTTTCACAAATTATCTCAACTGACTTTTCATCGACAAACTCAACAACAGCAAAACCAGTGGTAGTCATCTTCAATGAAAAAGATATATATTTGCAGTTATAGACTATATGTCTGAATATGTTCAAGCAAATATTCCTATGCTATTGCTACAATTATTTGAGCAATGAAAAAAATTTTAAATTTTACTTTTAACTTTCTATGATTTCATTTTCATTTATCCCACAAGGAAATAGTCACATTATTGTAACTATTAGGACAGGCACATGACCTTTGGCATTTTATTCTTAGTGACTGTGTAGGATAGCCATAAAAACAATCTTGTTTGGCCCAAGATCAACCTTCATTGCATTTCTGTTGAGGGATTGTGCTGACACAACTTTCATAGTTGTCCACCGTGGATTCCCTTTGTGCACACCAATGAGGCGCGAATCACATGGTCGACGAAATAGAGCTTCAGTCCTCTCATATACACGACACAAATATTTATTTTCGCCATCATCGGGATGATTAGATTTATCAAGCACCTCACAACAAGATGAATCACTCAGTATAAAACAATTGTCCGGTTTCTTCAGACTGATTACTGCTTCTCGGGACTGCGGGATGGCACCATAGCTCTCACTTAGTCGTTTGGCTATCTGCGCAATAGGGTTCTTTCCAGAGACCGAACTAATCTTTTTAATTTCTGCATATAATTTTCGAATGGAAATTGCACTGCATGCATCCAAGCTTCCATACTCCTGGACCTCATCAGCCAAAAGTATCATGCTATGCACATTATACACGTGAAACTCATTGCCATATAAAACCTTCCCCTGCTCCACAAAGTATTCCATCAGTTGCTTAGCATACAGCCTATGAAGCAAAGCTAACCTAGGGCATATCCGCCGCCGGCAGTATGGAACTAGCAACGCTAAGGCATAAGAAGTGATCATATAGATCAGGCCTTTGTATACCACTGAGAACTATCTGACCAGTATACACAAGAAATTGCCTATACTCAGTTGCCTTCCACCTATCGATTTCTGCCATGCCTCTTGGTTTACGTGCAAAGAAACTTGGAACAAATGAAGATCGTCGATGAAGCGAATCGAGCATTAATAGTAAATAATTTGGGTCCTATTAGACCACTTATCGAATTTCCCGTATCAACATCTGGGAAAAGAACCTTCAAGTTCCAATCTCATTGGTATGACCTCCATTCATGGCTAGAATATTCTGTACTGAATTAAGATGCAGCATTCTGTTTTAACTGTAGGTGCTTCGGGACACTTGGTAAGTTCACTAATATACAAACTCGTGATATTTACAACTTTCAAGCATTTTGGAATTTAATATGAAGTCTGCTATCACTGTTTTTTTAAGAAAATTGCTTTTGAATGTATGATCCTAGGTAGCCCCTAATTAGTAGCAATGTTACAATTGCGATGCATATACAGTATGTAATATCGCAACAGCGACTGAGTAAGTTGGACTACTAGGGTAGGATGTGTCAATATGTTATCTACCGTATTATTCCGTACGTATTTATATAACTGGCGAAGGTAAATAAATAAATAAATAAAGTTTCAATTTATTAAATTTAATAAATTGGGATTAATAACGAGCAACATCCTTTTGCGCCTACTAGACAAAAGGCTTAATAAAACCAAGAAGCGGTTTTGACAGTAAATTAACACTATTTCTACCTTCCGGCAATATCCTAATAGGATTTTTTAAAACATATATGCAGCGGTTTTGACACTATCTGTACCTCCCGGCAATCCGCTATTTTGGGCATATCATACCTCAAGTTACTATATGCAATAGTCACATTTCAAACTCAGTTCATTCTAGTCTGACTGTCAGAAAACCGCACTTTTCGCCACTCATATTTTGCCACACAAAACGATTTGCGTAATTTATCGATGGAGTATAATTTAGACCTAAAACTTAACTTTAGTTGGAAGCTCAGAAGAAACATTCACAAAGACAGGCTTTCGTACATGGAAAAAAGCTTCTGGCGAAAGTGGAAAACTTGCTAATCATGCTAAAAGGCAAATGCATATTCTATCAATGGAGCGCATGCAGAACTTTAAAAGTGAGAACCAACATATTGATGTGCAACTTGTTGGCATAGCTGAAGCTTCGAAGACAAGAAAAGAACAAGAACGAGAAGAAAATCGACAGATTGTCCAGACGATTATTGATGTTTTGATTTTTGATTCCAAAGTAAAAACCCTTATAATTGTTTATATTAATTAAAAGTAAACAACTTTGGTAGGAAACAACAACATGCAATTTTGAATATAAAACTTGCGATTATTTGTTGATACTTCGGAAAGTATTACTACATTGGACATTGACAAGTCAAACATCATGATCCCCTCTGCCCTACTTTGTCAGAAAACATTATGTTTATTTATTGGTGAAGCTTTCGGTCCGTCAGCCCGGATCCCCATCAGTTCATAGTGAAGATGGCGGTTTAATGCAAATTGATAATATACATGTCTTTCACAAAAAAAAGCCAGGTCAATTTATGACATTTATCGCTATTTCAATCGTGGTTGAAACAGGAAATCGCACACAGGCATGGCTTCACCAAATATATTTTTAGTATATATACTTGGAAATTTGAACGCCATGCAAACTAAACTAACTTTATTTATACTGCCCAACTCTCTACTCAGTTCTAAACTGTTATTCCTAGAGAAGCCTTTCTACAAATAGCAAATACCCTCCTCCCTCTGCAATGTTGAACAGCCGTTAGGACTTTGGTTTTATAGGTAATGCTTTGTGAAATCCCACATTTTGCCGGAGGGCATGATACAGGGAGGAGGGAGAGTAAAAATTTGAACTGAACTAAAGATTTACAAAATCCAATGAAATGAAGACAAAAAGGAGCTATTTTTTGTGGAAACTACAATACCACTACTAAAAAACGAAACTAACAAATTTACAAAATTAAGTTAAAATGAATTGCTCCTAACGAACCAAAATAAAGTTTTACAAGATACAGTGAAACTTAATGCAGGTAACTGATTAAGAAAGGAAAACTATTCCTTGTGCGAGCTACTACTATACGTTTAGTTACATGCTGTATATTATTGCTCGAAAAATTAACATAAGTCAGGCACATGTTATTTTGGGGTCATCCATATGTAAAATTATGCTGAAATAAAGATATTTTAGATTGTAATCCAAAGATAAAATGATGTCTGAAATTCTTTAAGTTTTGCTTATATATTGCTGAATAAATATTACTTCAATTATGTCATCATTTTTGGGGGGAGTGGTACCTAATACGTACATAAGGGATGGGGTGTGGAGAGTTATTGGTGAAGGTTATGTCATCAATAAATGAAAGAGAACAAATGTATTCATTTTGAGTCAGATTTGGCTGTCACAAAAAAATAAATTACTAGGATGTCATCTTCCTAAAAAGAGCCCAAAATTCGATGACGTATAATTGTTGACACTATCATTAACTACGCCTTGGAAAGCCCGTTTTTTTAAGTGGAAATATAATTAAATATACGTATAACTTCTTACCTATTTTTGAGATGGTCAATAGCATTGCTAAAACGACAAGTATTTTGCGACTCATATTGATGGTATCTTAGGTGAATCTACACCAAGATTAGGTTTCGTTGTTATAACGAGTGCTCAATGAATGCCCAGAGCATATAAACAAATAGCCTGCGAACAGGCTCTCAAGCTGAATTGAGAGCCTGCATCGATGACTAATGAATTTGAATATCTGCGTCTCAAATCGTGACGCGAAATTCTCATTGGTCAGTTGCTATAATTTATATGTTTCCGCTGAGCTCCATATATGTCAACTGCTGAAGCACTATGCATAAAAAACACATTAACTGATCAAATTGGTCTTGGCCATCTTATCTCAAAGCACGAAATCAGTTCTGTTTTGAGAAAACAGGATTTAAAACATTTGAACTTTTGCTTGAATATCTTATATTTCGAAAAACAGTATAAACTGTACGGTCTAAATTTAGTTTGCACGGTCTAAATTTAGTTTGCACGAAAGTTGTAAACAACACCATATAAGGATAGACATTCCATATTTGGAAAAACGAACGTTACGGGGCAGATATTCAAATTCATTAGTCATCGATGCAGGCTCTCAATTCAGCTTGAGAGCCTGTTCGCAGGCTAATAAATAAACTGAAGTACAATAACTCAACAAATTCCACCAGGCATCTCCACTATTTAGTTTCGTGCCTCAACAGGTAAAGATGAGTGCCACATGTTGTGTTATGTGTGCCACAGTTGTGTTACATGTTTTGGTACGAAACTAAATAGTAATAAAGATGCCTAGTGGAATTTGTTGAGGCGTTCAATTTATATTTATATTTAAAGCGGAGAGCTGAATTACACGCAGCTTAAACACGAGTAAGTCGAAGGTTTAGTAGGGCTCCTTATGACTGATATTTGATCACGGAGAACTAACTTTGGTGGAGCGTTGTTTTGGGAGAGGAAGTACACAGTGAAAAACCCAGGAAACACAAAACGTAACGGAACCAAGCAGAACTTTACTTCTATGTACACATGAAGTTTTCCAGACATGAAGTCGCGGAAAAGTTACACAACCGAAGTAAATCCCTTATTATCAACAACCACTTGACATTATGGTATTGAGCAGTGTACTATCTCCTATTACGCAGCACATACTTTAAAGTGCCTATGTCACACAAAAAAAAAAATGATATTTGGTAGAGGACAAAAAGTTAGTTAATAGGTTCTTTAACATTTTTCGGTTTTCTATTTTTATTCGCGAGATACGAGGCTCTAAACAGCGATTTTCGCAAAATTGTCGCGTATCGACAAGAGTCTGGGACGAGCGTGGTGTGACGTAGCTTAAGGGACTTAATTTCGACGCGCATTATACATTTGATATATTTTCCAGCATGTCAGGCAGTAGCTCGGATTCGGAAAGTTCTCAATGTGACTCAGAATACAATTATATTCCTGGATATATTATAGAGGATGGATCAAATGATACTAGTCACGAAATTGGAACTCTAGAAGCAGTTGATAGCGAAATTTTAGGCGATTATGATGCATGCCTTTATGCCGGTGAACCGCTAGCGAGCGAAGAATGCTACGCGCGATATCTAAAAAATATACGGAACACAAGCAACAAAACGAGATGCTACAGCGAAGATTGGATGGCCTTGAAGATATTAAATTATGGTGAGTGTAAACATAGATTTATTTTAACATTTTAACGTAAAATAAGTATCTCTGGCTAATATATTTTGCGGGATACGACATCAGTCACATCAAAGAGTTAAAACCACACTGCCCATTTTTCCAAACAAATAGGTCTGAATCCCGAGTGTAGAGTGATACAGCACGGTGGCTGTGGCACATCTTCTAAAACCAAGTTATCCTTCAGAACTTCCCTACAAGATTCCATCTCCTGACAGCACCAAGCTTCGTGTGTATATTGTATATGTAAATTATGTAATATGTATTATCACACAATCGCCGCATTTACACTTGTGAAATATGATACAGGTGAGGAAAGTGTGGTTTGATATGACTGATGCCGTATGAAAAATATATCAGCCTGAGATACTTATTTTACGTTAAAATGTTAAATAAATCTATGTTTACGCTCACCATGATTTAATATCTTCAAGGCTGTCTAATCTTCGTTCTAGCATCTCGTTTTGTTCCTTGTGTTCCGCATAGTTTTAGATATCGCGCGTAGCATTCTTGGCTCGCTAGCGGCTCATCCGCATTAAGGCAATTTATTTATTTAAAAAAATTTATTTAAAAAATATGCATCATAATTGCCTAAAATTTCGCTATCAACTGCTTCTAGAGTTCCAATTTCGTGGCTATTATCATTTGATTCATCCTGTATAATATACCCAGGAATATAATTGTATTCTGAGTCATATTGAGAACCATGAGTGCTGGAAAACACATGTCTTCCCAATAGCTTTTTAGTACCCCTTCACATGTGAATTCGAACTTCCGTCCCTTAAGCTACGTCACACGGCTCTCGCCCCAGACCTTTTTCCGTTTTTTTCTCGGGCGCGACAATTTTTCGCTAAAAGCCAATTTTTCAAGGTTTAGAGCCTCATATCTCGCGAATGAAAAGAGAAAACCGAAAAATGTTATAGAACCAGTTAACTAACTTTTTGTCCTCTACCAAATATCAAAAAACATTTTTTGTGACATAAGCACTTTAAATTAAACCTAAAAGGGTGTGTATCCTAAAAGGGTATGCATCCGAGTAAAAATCTAACCAAAATAAAGCTCATGCATTAAGGCAATCGTTGCAAGGAGAAACATTAAACGTTTTTAGAGAAATTACCTACACTCAGTTACCGGACAGGCGATTTTCGATCTTGAAGATCGTTAGCAGTTTAGCATCAACTGAATGAAAGAAGAGTAATAATCGAAACGAGGAACTGTCATGTGAATGATCTATCATTGGTCAGATTCGGTGGTACCGCCTCCTTGACGTCACAAATTAGACTAATTAGCATTATTACACTCAATTAAGACCCTATTACAATCACTAGCCCCAATTAAGACGACGGTATTGTGGCAAATATGTTTACTTACACCAGAAACACGCTATTATACTCTTTGAAGTGCTAAAAATATAACTGTTTATCGAAGAATCCTTAATTATGAATATTAATTAATAAATAGAAAAATAAAAGATCTTTTTGTAGAAGGCTGCTGCAGAACTGCAATCTTAGACATAGCCCCTGAAACCATTCCTCCAAATATTGCAAGGTGAATGTTCATTGTCATTGACAAGCCAGAAATCATGACCCCGTCTACAATTCTAACAATTGTTGGCGAAAATCCCAAAGAAATTAATTTCCGAATAAAAAAAGAATGGCAATTATTTTTCTGGCGTTCGACACAACATAATAATTATAGTTACTGCACCAATTTTATTACCGAAATCAGTAGAGTGTCTTTTCCGGAAGTTGAGAAGACAGTCAGAAGCCAGTAGAAACGTTCATGTTTTGTGAAAGAATGCAGCGTAGAACTTGTATGTTATGCACGAGTCAATTCCTGGAGTAACCATCCCTTCCCCCGGGACACCCCCGGGAATTTGCCCGATAGACAGTTCACGGGGGTCGGGAATTTGCCTTTCATATATGTGCACGGAGGCCGGGTATTGGAGGACCCCGGGGATTTGACAAATGGTTGACCAAAATCCCACCCACAAATTTTAAGGCAGCAAAACCTAGTTTCAGGCACGCATGTGGGCGCTCTGATCGTATTTTGCGCCCTCGTGGTCAAGGTGGCGTGAAATTTATTGTAAGAATAAGCGAAAATTATACCCTGTGCCATGCAAATATTTTTATTGTTAAAAACATCGAGTTTACTGATTTTGAATTATACTTGATTGATTTTCCTAGTTAGTTTTTTCAATTAAAAGGGCTGAAATGCGCCTTAAAAACCATCGTTCAAAAGGCTGAACTGCGCCTTTAAATACAACTATTAAAGGTTTATGTTTTATAATATTCCATAGCAGTTTAATACTATAATGTTATTAAATGACTATGATTATATGCCATTAAAAGTTTAATTAACGTTTACAGTCTATTTCATGAAACTTTGACCACAAATTTTCCGAACTTCGTTGCGAAGTTCACAAGATTGTTGCGAAGTTCAAAAGTTGATAATGAGATTCACAAACCAGTTCGTAAACTACGCATTTGATTGGCTTCTTTTACTTCACGGGCCAATCAGGGACTGTGTTTACAAATTGGCTTATGAATTCCAATATGAGCTTCCGAACTTTGCAACGAACTTGCAGGCTTCGCAACGAACTTCGGAACATTTGTGGTCAAAGTTTTGTGAAATCGACTGTAAAATCGTCCCCGGGGTGGGGCATTTTCCACTCTCAGCTTGCCCAGGGGCCGTGCATTAGTCTTCAAGTTGTGTCCCGGCACCCGGGCATTTACACTATCATAACCAATCAAATCAAATGCCCGGGTGTGTTCCCGGGGGGGGGGGGATGGTTACTCCTCCTGGAATTGACTCATGCATTATTTTACTTATTAGTAACTTTATTTAGTTTGACAAAGTGCCAATGGCTCGCCAAACACAAAACAAGCTTTTGAGCAAAGGGAGAACTAGGCTGAGGCGGTTTTTCGGTAAACCGAAAAAACCCCGATGTTTTTTGAAAACCGAATTGCTCGATTGCCCGAAAAAACCGGGGGGAAACCGAAATCGAACCATACTTATGCGAGTTTGTTGCAAATGAATCAAGTTTTGGCATTTACACACGAAAATTGATAACATTTGATAACATCTTCAAAATACCTTACGTTATAAATATCATTCTACAATTTTGCGCGAGCTTGAAGTCTTGAACGGATAAGCGGATCAAACGATGTTGAATTTTGATTCGCTAGTAATAAAGGCGGACGTCTGCGAAGACAGGTCTAAAATATTCAATAGCGTGTGTTGTGTCTTTTTTAAACCGATTTTCGAACATATTTTTTAAAAAACTAGCTGTTCACTCGGTTTTTTCGGGGTTTTTTTTGTCGGTTTTCGGTTTTTTGTGGAAACCGCCTCACACTAGGGAGAACCTTTATTCGTGAGAATGCACTGGGAAAAGAAATGCAAAGTTACTAATAAGTAAAATAACTTACAAGTTCCACGCTACATTCTTTCATCGTGACGTCATAAAACATGAACGTTTCTACTGGCTTTTGACTGTCTTTTCAACTTCCGGAAAAGACACTCTACAGATTTCGGTAATATCACGGAAACATACTGTAACAGAGGCATGTTGTAAAACGTGGACTGGACCTTGGACTGGACTGAACTTGTAAACTATGGACTGGACTTGTAAAACATGAATTTCGTCCTAAAATGCCATTTCATGCCTTTTTCCACGAGCAAATTATTTCAGCCATTTTTTTCCATGTTTTACAAGTCCATGTTTTACAAGTCCATGTTTTACAAGTCCATGTTTTACAAGTCCATGTTTTACAAGTCCATGTTTTACAAGTACTTGTTTTACAAGTCCATGTTTTACAAGTCCATGTTTTACAAGTCCATGTTTTACAAGTCCATGTTTTACAAGTCCATGTTTTACAAGTCCATGTTTTACAAGTCCATGTTTTACAAGTCCATGTTTTACAAGTCCATGTTTTACAAGTCCAGTCCAGTCCAGTCCAAGGTCCAGTCCATGTTTTCTAATTGTGCATAATTAGAATGGAAGGAAGTTTGGACAGTGATAGACCTTCTTGTGACTGCATGTAAGCCTTGTTTTATACGTCGAGTTTTGGTCGCGTGGAATGCAATTAAGACAATACATATATAATGAGATGATGAACGGAGAGACCGTTTGTACGAAAGCCGATCAGCTTAACCCCAGCGGAAAGCATTATGGCAACTTGTTTACAAATTTGGAAATCTTGTCTGGATCGTTAGGAGTAATTTACTTTACTGAAGTTTTGAACTGGCCCCTGGTCAGTACTCTGGGTAGGAATTTTGGTTGGATTTATAACAGGCCTACTCTGGGACCTTAACTCGCCCTAACTCGCCTTATCTCGCCCTATCTCGCAAGAGAAAAAGATCAAATTTTGCTTAACTCGCCCAATCTCGCAATGAGAAGTTGACAGAATTTTGCTTAACTTGCCTAAACTCGCCCTATTTTGCAATAATAACCGGCACAGTTTCACGTCAGTAAAACACAAATACCGTCAATCAAAATTCTTTAGACTCACAATACTCACTTATATATTCTATGAGTTTGGCATTGCAACTGACATCAACATACAAGTATGTAAGCCTGATTATCTGAAATGTTATCATATTTTTAATTTACTACATTCTCTGTAATGCCATAAAGCTGTATTGATCAAATAATTCCACCAACTACTCTACTTTAATACAGTAACAGGGCTGCAAATAAATATTTGACTTGACAGGACATTTGTCCGATCACTTTTAATTTTGGTCGGATATAACTTGAATTTGGTCGGACAAAAACCAACATCACTAAATTTGGTCGGACATATATACGTCACAAAATATATATGTCACGAGACAAGTATGTATAGCCATTCCGGCGCAACATTAAGTAAAATGCTAGAATGCCTTATTGCAAAATGCAAATTTGCAATAGGATTTTGTCACAGCAAAAAAATGTATAATGTGACAAATTTTTTTGTTATCAGACCAATGTCCGATCAAAATTACTTTTGCTCGGACATTTGCCAGATTTAGTCGTACATTGTCCGATGTCCGATAGGAATTTGCAGCCCTGCAGTAAGCAGGCCTTAGCAGGCATACTATATACAGTAATACTCAATATTTAATAAATCACAGTGAAAATAATCGAACATAATAACAGAACCCAAACTGCCAAGTATGGTTGAAAATTAATATTCCCATATATACTAATATACAGATCACTTATCTATTCTATTTCAACTATACAATGATATCAAAACATCAAAAGTACTTGCTTAGCTTTTATGCAGCTATCAGCCTATCACATGACTATCAAATTTTACTAAAATACTGTTATACTTATAGTATAAAAGGTCTCTGTGATATCAACAGCTCAAACTGCAAAGTTATTCGTTGAACTGTTTTTATATACAACCGGCAACAGAGCTACTGAACCAACGATACGCGCAGAATTTTAGGAGAAATATTTTAATACACAATCACATTCACAAAATTCGTGAAAATATAGATTCACAGTAAAAGCAAAGTTAAAGGTGGATATTGTAGTAAACATACCGTGCTTGCCTGTCTGTGACCAACATTAAATTTAGTAGAAACAATCTGTAGGGACAAGGCTTTTTGAATCTCATTCTAATATCATGATATTAAAAAAACTTTAAAATGTTGATGCATATCCCGCCATATTGCCTTTGCGGAATCGAATGATTCTGACTTATAGCACAGAATAAAGATCAGTAACAGAAGGGCAACTCAGCGGTGCAACGTGTCCTCGTTTTTTTATGCAAAAATATGCAGTTTACTGGCCAGAAGGCGGAGCAGCCAGCCAGTACAGCGTGTTTATTGGCCAGAAAATGTCATTGACTGGCTAGGAAAATGGCGGCCAACATGCGTAATGCGACATGCGCGAGGACAAAAACTTCAAAGCTTCCGACGTAAGTTGCCCTTCTATGTGGATCTTTATTCTATGCTTATAGACTGCGTAGACCTCCCCCCCCCCGACCACAGAGGAATTACCGCGATGATGGGAAAGAAGATTCCGTTTACCAGGGGGGCGGGATGCTGTCTGGGAACAGATATAACGATAAATTTTGGGGCTATGTTTTGGTTTTGTTCACATACATACGCACATACACGCGCATATACTTTATTTTAACAAGCTACAATTTTTGACAATATAGATTGGGACAATCTAGTTTTCACATGCACTCAGTTGTAATATACCATTTCGTGATACATACTTTCCACCCTCCCTCCCTCCCCCCACTCGTTTCAATGTTGGTGCCGCGCATCCAGACATCAGATTTTTGTTGGCCAAACATTGAACTGGGGGAACGGGAGGCACTACTCCTTTCAAATTATATGAAATTACGGCAGCTGTCCCATAGTTTCTGGCAAAGATTGTAGCCTCAAAAACTATCAGCTGGTTTCATTGTAAATGAGTAAAAAATTACACTACAAAGAGGAACATTACAAAGGTACTTTTTACATGACACAACAAAAAGACAAACGATAGAAATAAACCATGCAGTCAGCTTCATCGTTTGTTTCAGAACTCACCTTTGAACAACCGGCCCCAGAGGCCAGTTGTCACCAGAAGTTTTCCATTTGAGTATACTCTTTTATCCTTTATCAACTTATTAAGTCATCATCTCTTGCGCTAAATTCATCCAAGCGAGGGTAGCTCAGTCGCTAGAGCATTCACCTGGAGATGAAGAGGTCCCAGGTTCGCTGGCTTAGCGCAAGCGAAAAGGGGACAGACTCAGGGGTGCGGCACCGCCTCCCTCCCCCCCCCCCCAACTTTTAGAAAATTGCACTATTTAGAAAAGGTACAAGCCTATTCGGAAAATTCGGAGTATGGATTCCCTCGCTACACGGCTGATACGGAAAACAAGCCTCTTCGACCTACTCACTTAATTTAATAATTTCTTGATAAATACGCAATGCATGTAAGGCCAAAAGCAAATCAATCACTTTATTATATCATCAAGCAGTAAACTAAATAAGCAGTTATTTAGATCAAATTACAATAATTGAGTTAAAATCAAACTAGTAAAAGACAAGACCACACTAGCAGTCGTACAATACCCAAAGTACATCAAGCGAAAAGAGAACCAGCGATCACCATCAAACAGAGAATGAACTTGGTCGCCAGGATACCACTTGCGCTGCTGGGGGTATAATTGTTGCAATTATCGGTCTTACAGCACACACCAACACAAGATTTCAAACTATATTTTACGATCCTGCGCTCACATGTTTTTTCAGCATTAGGACAATCCACCTTGTCGGTAGGATCGCTGTTGGCACAATTTCTAATAACCCTTACTGTGCCGTCAGCTATGGTATAAGTTGCTGAGTAACAGTACCCCGTGGTACAGTTGACTGTTGTATTTCCGCACATTTGTTCTGCTTTTGACTGTTTTGATGTGTAAGCACACCAATTGCATGTCAGAGCACTCCCTAAAACAATAAAAGTCAATGTATTCATGTCAAGCGCAGTCATCAGAGAAAGCGCTGTGGGCTCGATTCTCACCGGGGAACGAATAACTATTTGTCAAGGGTCAATCAACGCTCTACAAAATGTTATAGCTTTCTCCAGGTACTCCGGTTTCCTCCCACAGGGATGCTGACTTGGTGATCATGAGTTGTGATAAGTCCCAAACTAATCCTTCCAACTAGATCAGGTTAAGCTGTGTCCTTCGTAAATCAGCTTATCTCTCAGCTGCAAGTTATAAAATTATTAGCACACCCCCACCCCAAGTATTTACTATGTCAGAAATGCGGCCACGTAGGAACATTATCCACGCAACAACATGGACCGATTTACACTATAGAGATGAATGATCCGTCTGGATGAATTTAGGTAAAGAAGCACCCCGCGGTACAGCTGACTGTTGAATTTCCGCAAATTTGTTGTGCTTTTGGATGTTTGACATGTAAACACAATAACTTCATGTCAGAGCACTCCCTAATCAAAGCCGTCGGAAGCGTGGGGGGGGAGGGGGCTGAGGAGGGGCTTGAGGCTCCCCTCCCCAAACAATTCCATTTGTATAAAAAACACACACACAAAAAGAACTAGAAAAGTACGAAAGCAATTCAGATTTACTCTTGAGACCCCTCCACTCCCACCCACAATATTGATTTACTTCCGACGGCCTTGCTCAAACAAGATGCAATGCATTCATAATCTCTTTCTCATGTTGTCGTAGCCAATAATTAGCTTGACTCAACTTTCATTGAAATATTTATTAATTTTAAATTTTCGAAAATAATCTTTCAGCTTTCTGCAAGTATAACAATATTGAAACAAATAAAATATTAAAACATATAAAGATAAAACATTTTACAGATATTTTTAATTATTTTAATGTTTTAACATTTTATTTGTTTTAGAATTGCTATATATACAGTACGTGTATATGAAAAGCTAAAAGAGTTTTAATAAATATATTTATGCCTCGCTGTTTATTGGGGCTTCGGTGGCACAGTCGCGCACCTCTGAGATCGTGGCCGAGGCCGATCATCCATCATAGCCAGGGCGAAGCTAAGGGAGAGAGGGCGTGGAAACGGCAATACATCGAGCGTCCCCATCACTGAGCTATAGTAATATTATAGCTCAGTGGTCCCCATCCGTGATGCGGGCTTCACGGCGGGTAAGACGTTCTAATCAGGGTTGCCAGTTTAGCTTTTTTAAAGGCAAATAACTCGAATTTGGCTTCTTTTTATAACGTTTGGCTGGGAAAAATTTCATTTGGCTTGAAACAATTTTCTGGCTTTTTTGTAAAATAATGAAAAGTAGCTGGTCTTTTCACCAAATTTTAGTTTCTCACCAGTTAAAATTTGCCGCTTTGTTGTTCAGATAGATTATTTGTTGATTAAATCTCGGTATAGCCTCCAGAGTAGCAATCTCGAAACCAGAGCCCGCAATCCTCTGTGGAGCTTGCTGAAGCCTGGTTCACATATGCCTGCGGGATGCCTGCGACTGTATCATTATGCCTCTATTTGCCGCCGAAATACCGGCAAAGTTGAACTCAAGTCAACTTTCTCGACCTACCGCCGATGTAACTGAGGCATTGGAGGCAATCGGCGAACAAATGTTCACATAATTTACGTTTTAAAGCTATCACTGGTATCGTCGCCGGTATGTCGCAGGCATATATGTGAACCAGGCTTGAGGCTCTGGGAAACACCGGTGAAAGTCGGGCTCTGATTGATTGTTTTTCAACATCTTCGTCCCCAGGCCCAAGCGGCCCTCAAAGTTTTTCAAGTGCTAATTATTATTCAAACTTTGAGCCGTATTTAGTTATTCGGATTTCAAACATCGTTTAAAATTAATATAAAGTTTATTTCTCTTTGTGTATTATGTTTAAACATATCAATGAAACACACAGCATAAACAGCATAACATTAATAAGCTTATTAAGCTTTCCTAGCTTCTCATATGAAATCAAAAGACTGTTCTATTTCTGATATTGATATGCTATAAATAACAAAATTAGAATAACAACAGTGCAGCATTACCAGACCTCTCAACTCTCACGCATTCGGCGTGAGTCTCACGCAATTCGCTTCAGTCTCACGCTCTCTCACGCCA